TCTGGGATCCTCATTTTACCGACTTCGGAAGGATGGAAGGATGGGTCAACCTTGAGCCGGTCAGGATCGAACTCCTGGCAGTGGGTAGAGTTAGCCTGAAATACTGCATTCTAACCAATGTGCCATCATGGCTCTCATTTAAAGATCACGGCATTCAGTTAACTACCACCACAAAAAAGTTGCGACATCCGGTGTGGTCACGTGGTGACCCGCTTAACAACCAATATGATTTCCAACTGTAACTTCAGGCTGAATTATGGTCGTAAGTCACGGTCTACCTGTAGCGTATTCTGGATCTAAATCAAAATAGGAGCTCAAGTCTTCCAATAACCACACTGACTACTGCCACAAACGTACTCTTCTCACCTGCGTCTCTAGAACGGGGTCCCCAATCACCGGGCAGTGGCCCACTTCTGGGCCGCAGCCTGTTCAGAACCAGAAGGCAAAAGCTGCGGCCGAGCTGCGCGCATGTAAGATAAGATAACCTTTATTGTCATAACCATTCTCTCTCCCCGCCGGTCCACAAAGCCGGAATTGGGGGTCGTTATTCTAGAAATTACTCTAGAGGTTTAACTTGAACAACCATCCCTTCCTCCCCATACCACAGCTGTGTCTCGGGTCCCCTCCAGCACCTACTGCTTGAGCATAGGCACTCAGGGCTTGCTGGGAGATCTTGGGGTTCTGCCCCGTATTGAAGAACAAGGAGAGGTAGGCATTGCCCAGCACATCTGTGGAATGCAGAAAACATAAATTAGCCAATGGCATATCCCGTTCTCTTTTCTGCCCTTTCCCTGCCCGGGCTAAAAGACCGTGTTGTAAAACTCACACCAAGAGCGTCCGTCGCGCACATCCATCTGTACCGCCAGTTTGGCTTGCCGCACGCTGTCCATCACGTTTTGTGCATGTTCATCAGGAGAACTGGTGCGCAGCTGCCGTAACACCATGGAGAGGTTCTGCAAGGAGACTTTGTTCTTACGCTAAGAGGGTGGAAAAAGAAAGGCGTGTTTGGCTGAAACAGCAACACTGCAGGACAGGATTTCTGTATAAAACTAGAAGTTTTAATAAGCTCCAAATATAGGCAGTTCTCCATTTTCCACTCATTAAGCAATTGTTCGAAATTGTATGAAAATGCATACACACAGGTAATATTTTTCCCTCCATATATTTTTAGTTACAAGTAGCAATGAACCAAAGGAACATATCCTTGCAAATATATTTACATATCCATCAAAAAAACAAGCTACCTTAAGATGGGAGAGTCTATGGAGATTCTCCGTCATCCAGGTCATAGTTATCCCAAAGGTGCTTTTTCACGAGGCAATTTGTTTTTCTCTAAAGACATTTCACTTCTCATCCAAGAAGCTTCTTCAGCTCTGACTGGATGGTGGGGAATGGAAAGATTTATATTCCTCACAGACAGCTGGTCATTTATATTCTTTTAGAGCAGTGGTTTCAACCTTTTTAATGGCGTGACCCCCAACCGGTCGTAAGTCGAGGACAACTCAACCAGTCGTAAGTTGAGGACTACTCAACCAGTCGTAAGTCGAGGACTACTCAACTGGTGCAGCACCGTTTGCAGAATGGGACTTTTGGCGGGCTCAGCAGGGCAGAGACAGCCTATTCAAGAGAGTCTATTCTATTGGCTTTCAAAAGCCAACAGAATAAAAGGGAGTAGCACAGCTAAGGAAAAGGGGGAAAAAATGGCGGACTGCGTTGTTTGGCGACCCCTGTGAAATGGTCGTTCGACCCCAAATGGGGTCCCGACCCACAGGTTGAGAACCACTGTTTTAGAGAGTCGTTGAGGCCACTTGGAGGTTTATCTGTGTCGTCAGGGTCCCCTGTGTAGTGCAAATGCATGTGGAGCCTTCTTGGAACTGCTGACAGGACTGTGTTGTAGACTGGAGATAGATGATGTTGTATCGCTCTCCCTCTGTTGAGAAAAGGCTGTTCAGTGTTGACAGAGATGGTCTCTTTGACCCCTCTTTCAAACCAGCAGTCCCCTCTGTCCAAAATGTGGACTTTGCTATTTTCAAAAGAGTGGCCTTTCTTGTATGAGAAGCGAAATTTCTTCAAAGAAAAACAAGAAAATCCAGTTGCCTTGTGAAAGAGCACCAAGATGGGTGAATTGAAAATAGTCATCAATGGATTAAAAAATTGCAACACATTCATTACAATAAGCATTTATTAAGTATTTGAGTGCTAATTAAACTGAGTCAAAAGGCCAAATCTTTATACAACATTTCTGTATAAAATGAGAACTTTTAATAAGCTCCAAACACAGGCAGTCCTTGGAATACTGCATCCAGTTTTGGTCACCACAATGTAAAAAAGATGTTGAGACTCTAGAAAGAGTGCAGAGAAGAGCAACAAAGATGATTAGGGGACTGAGGCTAAAACATATAAGGGACGTTTGCTGGAATTGGATATGTCTAGTTTAATGAAGAGAAGGACGAGGGGGGACATGACAGCAGTGTTCCAATATCTCAGGGGCTGCTCCAAAGAAGAGGGAGTCAAGCTATTCTTCAAAGCACCTGAAGGCAGGACAAGAAGCAACGGATGAAAACTGATCAAGGAGAGAAGCATCCTAGAACTAAGGAGAAATTTCCTGACAGTTAGAACAATTAATCAGTGGAACAACCTGCCTCCAGAAGTTGTGAATGCTCCAACACTGGAAGTTTTTAAGAAGAGACTGGACAGCAATTTGTATGAAATGGTATAGGGCAGGGTAGGCAACTGTGGCTCTTTATGACTCATGGAGTTCAACTCCATGAGTCATAAAAGTCATAAAAGAGCCAAGGTTGCCTACCCCTGGTATAGGGTTTCCTGCCTGAGCAGGGGGTTGGACTAGATGATCTCCAAGGTCCCTTCCATCTTTTTATTATTTTTATTATTATTATTATTATTATTATTATTATTATTATTATTATTATTATTATTATTATTATTATCTTTTCTCTGAAAGGGATTTACTTGATCTACAGAATACCATCAGAAATAGCAATAGCACCTAGGACTTATATACCACTTCATATTGCTTTACAGCCCTCTCTAAGCAGTTAAAAGAGTCAGCATATGCCCCCCCCCCCAATAATCTGGGTCCTCATTTTACTGACCTCAGAAGGATGGAAGGCTGAGTCAACCTTGAGCCGCTTGGGATCAAACTCCTGGCTGTAGGCAGAGTCAGCCTGCAGTACTGCATTCTAACCACTGCGCCACCATTTTGGAATCCAGGTTTCCAAACAATCCTTCAAACAAAAGAACTATTTGATAGCAGAGAACTTAGGGGAAGCTTACATGGCTGAGTGCTCCAGAGAAGCAGGTGTGGGCAGCAGAGACATCTCCCTTTTTCCAATAAACCTCGCCTAATTGATTCCACGCCTCCACCAATTCCGGGTCCAGCTTGACCGCTTTGGAGAGCAATTCTTCAGACTGGGCATTATAGTCTGTTGATACATTCAAAGCTTTCCCTTTAAGCATCAGTGTGTACGCTCGCCCTTCTGATAAGCCTAATAAAAATGGAGGGGGAAAAAAAGAGAGATTCCATTCATATGTTATTGTCCCCCAAAAAGAAAAAAAAGTCCACCTAATATTGAACTGTAAGTAATTATACATTTCTTTTTGCCAGTTCATTTTTTTCTCTTCCATTTGCTGTTCAGTGTACAGATGTCTATCACCGATATAATTCGATACAAAAACCATACAAATGGCAATTGAAATACGCTATCTTAGTAAGTAATGGTAAATCTGAATTCCAGATATAAACTTTCATGGGTTTTGCTATATCAACTGATGCAGGTAGTCCTCACTTAACAAGCACAATTGGGACCAGCAACTGTGTCTTTAAGTGATGCATCTGTTAAGAAAAATGATGTTCAACTGCACCGGAGTTACATCAGTTCCACTATGTTCATTACATCATATGAATCACATGACATCACGTCACCACGAATTGCAACTTCCTGATGGCTTCCCCATTGACTTTGCTTGTTAGAAGCTGATTCTGAAGGTCGCAAATGGCGATCCTATGACTACAGGATGCTGCAACCATCATAAATGAACACCGGTCGCAAAGTGCCCGAATTGCAGTCACATGATCATGTGGCCACTGCGAGAACTGCATGGATCAGTTGTAAATCTATTTTTTTTCCAGCACTGTCATAGTTCAAGCAGTCACTGAACAAAGCAGTGGGTAAATGAGGATTAGCTGTAAACTTTCCATTTTTTCTTCTGATTTCTGGTATTTTTAATTATTACATTTAGGAAGTATTCAAATTGTTTTGAGTGTAGAAGTTTTAACGGACCTTTGGCTGCTACAAATGCTTGAGATGATTTGTCTGTAAGTTTGTTGATAATTCACAAAAGTGAACTTTCAACTGTCTTTTACAAGATTAGAACGCATAATAGCAGTAGCACTAAGACAGATTTAAGTTTTAAATTTCTTTGCTTAAATCAAGGCTTTTCAACCAGTGGTACGGGCACCACCTGTGATACATTGGCACCTGGCAGGTGGTACACACCATCCTAGAAAAGTGGTAGCGAGGGAGGGGAATGAGCTGAACCGGTGGCAGCACCGCACAAGCCTGAGCGAGAGATGGCTGGAGCTGCAGGGCTGTCAGGGCTCAGCGGAAGCACCAGGATCAGCTTTTCTTCGGGGCTGTCAGGGCTCAGTGGAAGTGCCAGGATCAGCGCCAGGCTCCAGCTAGAGCTCTGTACTGATCCTGGCACTTTTGCTGAGCCCTGAAGAAGCACCAATCAGCTGGAATGTTGCAGCATCTCCAGGGTCTTGTGATTTACATTTAAATGCTTGGCAACTGATTCATATTTATGACAGTCACAGGGTCATGTGACCAAAATCTGCTGCAACCACCCAGCAGATTGGGGGGGGGGGATAAAAACCAAACACACACCCCCACCCCACCTAGCTGCCAATCCTCAATAGAAATGCTCACAACAATGAAAACCTCGGACAGGAGGAAGAGTGCAGCCAGGCGGGCAGGCAAGTGTCTTGCTCGGCTGTGGCTTGGGGGGGCACTTTTTTCAGTGCCATTGTAACTTCAAACAGTCATTAAGCGAACTATTGTAAGTCGAGGACTACCTGAACTTTATCACTTTTTTTCTTTTTCTTTTTTTTTTTTTTTTTTTGGTCATCAGGTTTTTGACACCTTGCTAGGCGACTGGTGGTACACGGCTATTGCCATATCCTAAAAGTGGTACAATGGGTGAAAAGGTTGAAAAGCCCTGACTTAAATGACCCTCAGAAAGATTTTCTTCCAATTAAAACCAAAGTTAATTATCAACAGAAAACTAAGCATGTCCTCACATTGACTAATGAATTGTGAGCTGCCCAGAGTCATTTGCTGAGCAACTCACAATTCATTACTACACAAATGAAATAAGCAAGTAAGAAAATTAATTAGTTAGTTAAAGGATTTCCCAGAAGCATCTGTTGCTCATTATGGGAAATAGGATCTAGACTACCTAAATACAATCTACATGGGGCTGCCCTTGAAGGCCACTCAGAAGTTACAACTGGTCCAGAACACAGCAGCACAGTGTTGGGTGCATCTAGAAGTGCCTTCCTGGTGTAATTCAAGATGCTGGCCATTGCTTTTAAAGCGCTACATCACAGGGGACCAAAGTATTTGTGAGACCACCTTTCCCTCAGGGTATTTAGTAATAGTAATAGTAGTAAAGTTGGAAGGGACCTTGGAGGTCATCTAGTCCAACCCCCTGCTCAGGCAGGAAACTCTACACCATTTCGGACAAATGGCTGTCCAGTCTCTTCTTAAAAACTTCCAGTGTTGGAGCATTTACTGCTTCTGGAGTCAAGCTGTTCCACTGATTAATTGTTCTCACTGTCATGAAGTTTCTCCTTAGTTCTAGGTTGCTTCTCTCCTTGATTAGTTTCCACCCGTTGCTTCTTGTCCTGCCTTCAGGTGCTTTGGAAAATAGCTTAATTCCCTTTTCTTTATGGCAGCCCCTGAGATATTGGAATACTGCTATCATGTCCCACCTTGTCCTTCTCTTTGTTAAAGTAGACATACCCAATTCTAGCAACCATTCCTTATATGTTTTAGCCTCCAGTCCCCTAATCATCTTTGTTGCTCTTCTCTGTACTCTTTCTAGAGTCTCAACATCTTTTTTATATCATGGTGACCAAAACTGGATGCAGTATTCCAAGTGTGGCCTTACCAAGGCATTGAAGAGTGGTATTAATACTTCACGTGATCTTGATTCTATCCCTGTTAATGCAGCCTAGCACTGTGTTGGCCTTTTTTGGCAGCTGCAGCACACTGCTGGCTCATTTTTAGGTGATTGTCTACTAGGACTCCGAGGTCCCTCTCCCACTTGATTGGGTAGGGTAAGCAAGTTCCAGGCCTCATTTTGCCATCAAGGGAACCTGGGAAGCATGCCATTTTTGCGGCTGTCTCTATGGAATATCCTCCATCCCACAATCCAACAGGCCCCCATCTTCTTAACCTTCCAGAAGGCAATTAGAACTTTTTTTCCAAGGGACTGGGTCAAAGGGTGGAGTCCATGGATGCTTGTTAGGGAACCTTGGAAGATTGTTTACAGCACCAGGTTTTTAATTTTTGTGCCATGGCTTTTATGCTTTTTGCCATTTTATGGTCCTTGTGAGCCACCCAAAGTTCTTTCAAAATGGGTGACTGTCCAAATCTTTTAAATAATTAATTAAAACAAACAAACAATAAAGACTTCTGGTAGGCAAGTCATAATCACAATATCAAAATGCTGAAATGAAGAAAATTTGGGTATATGGGACTGGATGTTTTTGAGGGAAGGATTATACTGTAATCATTTGTCAGATCTACTTCTGTCAGATGTAAAGAATCTGGACCATTTGTGCAGATTGCAGCATAAAAAAAAATTATTGAGGCCTAGACACTAGAATCTGGTCAACTAACGGTCAGTGCTAAATTGGCATTAGATAAGGATCAACAGAATTCAAGAAGAGCTGGACTCTTGTGGCAACCCAAGGACTCTAAATTGCTGGTATGTTTAATTGTGTCTGCCCCAGTTGTGCCTTTTCTGTTCCTACAACTTCCTCTTCTCTCAAGGTACTAGACTCTTCAATTCTATGGCTGCATTATATGTACTGGTATATTTGAAGGACCTGGTAATGAAACGAAACAGATGCCTTAAGATGGTGATACAGAACTGCAAGTTATGTGTGAATTACCACCTATGGCTTCCATTTTTTGAAGAGTCTTCTCCATCTCTTCCTGAACATCCTGTCGTTTTTTTCCAGCATCTTCCACACTGTGGTTCTCAAAATAATGATCTCGGAAATGATACAGGTGGTCAACCAATTCCTATTCATAAATGGATAAATACTGTCAGATCTCCCAATAGTGATGTCTTGCCAATACAAAATACACCGACATTTGCGATGGGATGGCCAAACTGACAAACCCAGGTTGTGTACCATAAACTAAGCATTTGTCAGTATCGAAGCTAAAATGTAATTGCCCAATTTGAAATTTATTGTGTCCATTCCATGCAAACCTGGCAGCTCAACTGATAATCATGTCTTGACTTAGCAAAAGATCATTCATATATATATATATATATATATATATATATATATATATATATATATATATGTAGGTAGGTCTTTGGTTGTTTGGGTTTTCTCCCGCGTAAAATTGGAAGTGTCTTGTTTCGTCGAAATGTCGCCAAGACACTTCCAATCTTACGCGGGAGAAAACCCGAACAACCAAAGACCTACATACAAATACCCGCGAAAACCTCAGAAAACATATATATATATATATATATATATATATATATATGAAAATCCAATATATAATCAATCAGTCCTCCATTTAATGTTCCTCCCTAGTAGTGTCTGAAAGTCAAACATAACTATGAGAAAGGAGAAAAGTTAATTTAAACTATATTCCACAGCATAGAACCACTATTTTTACATAACAAAACCAACCAGCATATTTAACCTCCTCGTGGAATAGCCACAGATTAATGCAGAAATCTTTGATCCTAAAGATCACGGAGTGAAACGATGGCTCACTCCGGACGCAGCAATTACGACTGGATTTCTCTGATCATTCTGAGATTTTAGGAATCCAAGAAAACCTGGGGAGATCTACAAAGGGACACCCTTCTCGGCACCCAAAGCAGGAGGGCATATACAAATCCCTTTCTACTTCTCAATCGTTGTCCCCTGCTCTGTTTACTTCGTCCCTTCCAGCGTTGCCTAAATTACTGAGCTGTGAAAATTGCTAGAGGAGCATATCGGCTAGCGAAAACCAAATATAAAGCAGAAGCTTTGCCAGCTGCTTTTGCTCGTCCACGGCTTCTTAAAACGCTGCTAGCTTTGGACAGCGCGTCCTGCACAACAGCTCAGTTAGTTATCTGCCTGCGTAAATCCGAGAAAAGCTCTGGGACTTTGCTCTATCCCTTTCCCCAGAAGAGGACGCGCGGGCATTTCTAAAATTATTTATTATTATTTAAATCGTGGCTTTAAAATGCAGAGGGGAGAAAAACTCTCTGTTGCTGGCCGTTACCTGCAGACGTTGCCGACCTTGCGAGTTTTCTTCTTCGTCCTCGGCCATGATAGCTGCAGCCTCCCCTCCCTTTCCTGCTCTCTCTCTCGCTCTCTCATTCTTGCAAGCACGGAGGGAGGTAGAGGCCTCTAAAGGCTGGGAGGACTCGGAGCAGTTCAGACGTAGCGGGAGAAAGAATTCAGAATCAGGATCAGAATAGAGTTGGAAGGGACCTTGGAAGTCTTCTAGTCCAGCCCCCTGCTCAAGCAGGAGACCTATATCATTTCAGACAAGTAGCTGTCTAGTCTCTTTTTAAAACAACGTCTGAAGGCAACCGGTTCCACTGGTTTATTGTCCTCGCTGTTCGGAAGTTTCTTCTTAATTTCGGGTTGCTCCTCTCCTGGATTAGTTGCTTCTTGTCTTGTCTTCTGGTGCTTTGGAAAATAAGGTGACCCCCTCAAATACCAGAATACTGCTAGCATGTCTCTCCCCCCCCCCCAGTCCTTCTTTTCTCTAGACTAGCCAAACCCAAATCTTGCAACTGTTCTTCATATGTTTTAGCCTCCAGGCCTTTATAATCATTGTATTGCTCTTCTCTATACTTTTCCCAAAGTCTCAACATCTTTTTTGTAATGTGGTGACCAAAACTGGATGCAGTATTCCAGGTGTGGCCTTACTAAGGCTTTTTAAAGCGGTACTAATACTTTATGTGATTTTGATTCTCTGTCTTTGTTTATACAGCCAAGGATTGTTGTATTATTAACTTACAGGGCAACAGTAACTTTGTTTTTTTTCTATTTTCATAAGAAGAATAACAGAATAGCAGAGTTGGAAGGGACCTTGGAGGTCTTCTAGTCCAACCCCCTGCTCAGGCATGAAACCCTATACAATGTCAGACAAATGGTTGTTCAATCTCTTCTTAAAAACGTCTGGCACCCACAACTTCTGGAGAGTATTTTTAACCAAGGATCCTGCTTTAGACCAGTGTTTCTCAACCTTGGCAGATTGAGTGGACTTCAGCTCCAAGAATTCTTTGAAAAAAAAATTCATCCCAGAAGATTTTTATGAAGAGATTGGACAACCATTTGTCTGAAATGGTATAGGCCAGGGACTCCTGTCTGAGCAGGGGGTTGGACTAGAAGACCTCCAAGGTCCCTTCCAACTCTGTTATCATGCTTTCCATTTTGTGGGGGGAAAATCAACAACCAACAATTCTCCCCTGGTATCCATTTATCCATAATTTCCTCTCAAAATTCTAGATGTGCCCCGAGCCCAAAAAAGTTATATATTGCTTTTCTATATTTTATGGAAGCATCAAAAACAGTAATTCAGGAAACAAAGAAAGCAAAAAATCCATAACAATTCAGAAAATGGGCCTTTTTTTCTCCAAACCTAGAAATAAAAATTGAGGTTTGATTATGACTGGTACCCTCAGAATAACTGATTTCAGAAATCAGAACTAAATAGGTCAAGGAATGGAGTGGCATGCTGCAATAGGGTGTTGTAAGTTTGAATCATGAAGAGTAAACTCCTATTAGAGAATTTGAAAATGTTTTCAAATGTTTTAATTCAGCTCCTAAGACACCAGGTTAGAAAGCTGGAGACCATGAGTTCTAATCCTCCCTGATTAGAAGTGAGCTGGGTGACTTTGGGTGACTCACCAGGAAACAGTGATTTCTAGTCCTGTCTTAGTCATGAAAGATGGCTGGGTGACTTTGGGCCACTCAATCTCTCTCAGCGCAACACACAACACACAGCTGTTGTTGTGGGAAAAATAGGAAGAGGAAGGTGTGTTGGATATGTTTGCTACTTTGAATTATTTGTAAAATTAACAAAGGTAGAATACAAATAAATACATATGTTCACCACTTTGAGTTGTTTGTAAAATAATAAAACCAGGATACAAATATATAAATAAATTCCCTCACTCTTTATGTCTCCATGTCCATATGTAGTACATCCCATGCTTGTGAGATTTCATTTTAAACAGTAAATGCTTTTCATGCTCATTTTGCCCATCTTAACCTTCCTTTGCTCAGAGTGATTTTAGAAGTATTACAAAGTGATATAGTGAAATACAGTGAGATCAAGGCTTGCATTTACCATAAATCTATTAAATAAATGGAATTAATAATCATTACTAATTTAAGGCCCATTTGGTATATTCTACCTGTTACAATTCAACATAGAGAAAATCATATGGATGATTGTGATCCAGTGATTTGATTTATCAAATAGATGAAGTGCTTGAAGCAACACAGCCCTCATAATTTAGGTTCATTTAAAGAAATTAATAAAATGATTCTCCCTCAACATCCAAGTGGTAAAAAAGGAGGAGGAGGAGGAGGAGGAAGAGGAGGAGGAGGAGGTGGTGCTGCTCTATTTTTGCTAATGACCAGAAAAACATTTAATGCTTAATGACAAAACACAAAAAGGACATCCACAGATGTTTATACCAATGGAAATATATACACACAGGTAATTTTTTTCCCCTCCATATATTTTTATTTACAAGTAACAATGAAACAAAGAAAAAATCTTTGCAAATATATTTACACGCCCATCGAAGAAAACATGCTGTTTTAAGATGTGAGAGTTGAAAACAGTCACCAGTGGATTAAAACATTATAACAAGCTTGTTACAATAAGCAATTATTAAGTGTTTGAGCACTAATTAAACTGCATCATAATGCACAATAATTAAATCACTGCAAATGTGTCAGAAGTGTTGTGTTTGCAAGGAGGTTGCTATATAGAGGAACAATGACAAGCTGTATACTGTAACAAACTCATGCTCATGTAAACTACGGTAACCCAGTATACTATCTAACCGTTCAAAAAACATTGACTTTGCAAAGTGTCCCTCTCTTGCTTTAACATATGACATGGCTTGGAAAATATTTGGCGTTCACTGATGTAACAAAAAGTTGGTTTCTTGGGTTGAGATTTTGTTTAGTTTTAAACCTCGGGCCTGTAAATATTGAACTGGGTTTTTAGAAGTTCCTGCAGTTGAACTGAAATGCACATTAGGATTTACATTCTCTTAATTTTATACGCTCTGTTGCCTCCTGCGTGGTGTTCCAAATCATTGTCAGGAGAGGCAAAGGAAAAGAAGCCGTTGGCAGACTCGCCCATGGGTGGAGAGGAGGCAAAGAAGGGCTTGAAATGGAAGTCCCCCTCACCATGCCGGCCCTGGATAGGTGTAGTGTTCCGAGAGTATCTGGCAGCGTTACCTAGAACATGTGAGTGAGAAACATGATGTTAGAGAAGGGCTTAAATTTCCTCTCCTGTAAAAATGGCCTTATTAGCTACATTGGTGCCAAACACTGATACATGCACGTAATAATAATAATAATCATCATCACCATCACAATAATAATAATAATAAAGTTGGTAGGGACCTTGAAGGTCTTCAAATCCAACCCGCTGCTCAGGCAGATAACCCTATACCATTTTGGACAAATGGCTGTCCAGTCTCTTCTTAAAAACTTCCAGTGTTGGAGCATTCACAACTTCTGGTGGCAAGCTGTTCCACTGGTTAATTGTTCTAACTGTAATTTCTCCTTAGTTCTAGGTTGCTTCTCTCCTTGATGAGTTTCCACCCATTGCTTCTTGTCCTGCCTTCAGGCGCTTTGGAGAATAGCTTGACTCCCTCTTCTTTGTGGCAGCCCTGAGATATTGGAAGACTGCTATCATGTCCCCCCTCGTCCTTCTCTTCATTAAACTAGACATACCCAATTCCATCAACCTTTCCTTATATGTTTTAACTTCCAGTCCCCTAATTATCTTTGTTGTTCTTCTCTGTACTCTTTCTAGAGTCTCAACATCTTTTTTACATCACGGTGACCAAAACTGGATGCAGTATTCCAAGTGTGGCCTTACCAAGGCATTGTAGAGTGGTATTAATACTTCGTGTGATCTTGATTCTATGCCTCTGTTAATGCAGCCCGGCACTGTGTTGGCTTTTTTGGCAGCTGCAGCACACTGCTGGCTCATATTTAAATGATTGTCCACTAGGACTCCGAGATCCCTCTCACAGTTACTACTATTGAGCAAGGTACCCCCTAGAGAGATTATATTTAGGTGGGAGATCCATAATCAGAATCTCTCTTTATTTTTAAAGTAAACCATATTACAGATACAGGAGGTAGGAATCTGAACTTTGATGCTAGGGACAAGTTACTGAAATATTTCTTCACAATTTTCCAATTTAAACTCCCAAAGCTATTTGCTCCAGAAGAGAAAACATGCAAATATTGATTGGCACCATATTTATTCTGGAAGCCCTTAATATCCAGATTGTTTAAAAATAGCTTAGATTCAAAATAATAGCTAAAAATGGATGGGATTCATTTTTATGTTTCATGTTACAATTCCCAAACCCCAAGACAGAACAACATACTGCTTTTCTTGCAGTTTACTGATGCAGTCTATGTTTTGTATGATCCAATGCATGCAAGTAATCAGAAAAAAACTTCACAGTCATAAAAAGCAGATGTTATTTTTCCCTATGGTTATGCATTGACACAACGTAAGTAGAGAACAGTCAGTCAGTGAAATGTGATAATTAAAAGGTCTAGTTAACCACTATGTTGAGATAACACATTTTTAAATTGCTAGGAAAGCCAGATATGCTCAGTAAGTTATTAATGGGAGCATAACATAGTATACAATACTTGCCACACTCATGTAGTTGTCTAACGCCCAGTATTATCAGTCCTATGTCATTTTAATAATGCTCTGTGTGTATGGATTTCATCCAAGCATTATTCACCCTGTCAATGAAGTGCTTGTGAAGTATCATACTAAAAGTCACCATTCTTACCCAGAGGGAAACCAAAGACAGCAGGCTGAGGCATCATGGCAGGCTCTTGTCCTGCCTCCTGATTGGCCACAGCAATATTCCGTAATCTCAGGCTGTCATACAAGCCCTGCAGTTTTTGGTACTGACGATTACGCTCCATGAGTTTCTCTGACAGCTCAGTGAATTTCTTTTTGTATTCCTCCAATACTTTCTTTAAGGAAGAGACTTCACTCTTCATAGATGTCAGCTCCATATCTTTGCTCTGGAGTTGCTGAGTGTAGACTTTCTCCATTTGCTTCAGATGGCCCTCTGCTTTGCTGTAAGTATATTCTTGATACAGGCGCTCTTGATGGACCTACGTAAATATAAAGAACAAATAGCAAGGAGTAAGTCTTGGGAAGATTTGAATGAAATTACTTTTGTCACTCAATACAGCATTCTATGTGTCTGTGGAGATTCTCAATCTTAAATTTATCTGTCTATCTATCTATCTATCTATCTATCTATCTATCTATCTATCTATCTATCTATCTATCTAGTCCATTTCTATAGCAGCCTTTCTCAATGACTCTGAGTGGCTTACAATTAAAAAAAGTGTGTTTCTAATTAAAAGTACTGAAAACATTTTAAAGCAATAAGAATGATAAAAATATTCAGACTAAATAGTTGTTGTTGTTCGTCCATCGATTTTCAATGAAGACCTTGACATCTTGTGGGTTATGCGCCATCAACGATGTGTCCGTAGGTGGCTAATAAGACCGATGTTAGCACGGAATGTTCTGCCACATACTGAGCAAAGAAATGTAGACACTGTTACTTCAGCATTTGCAGCTCTGGCTTTGCGGAGTGCTCGCTTTTCTTGTGCCAAGATTCTCCTTCTGTGTTCATATGTTTGGCAACCCTGGTACACCAAGGTGCACCATGTTGGTCGATCATGCACCAGAAGTTCCCAAGAGATGGTGTTAATGTCCAGGAACTTAAGAGAAGCTTTCAACGTGTCTTTGTATCGCTTCTTTTGTTCCCCGTGCGATCGCTTTCCTTGAGACAGTTCACCATAGAAGAGCTGTTTAGGGATGCAATGATCTGGCATCCTTACAACATGGCCTGCCCAGTGCATCTGGGCTTTCATCAACAGAGTGTAAACTGATGATAGGCCTGCTCTGGAGAGGACATCTGTGTCCGGTATCTTATCCTGCCACCAGATCCTCAGAATTCTACGAAGGCAGGTCATGTGGAAGTAGTTCAGTTGCCTAACATGCCTCCTGTACACTGTCCAGGTCTCACTAGCATACAATAGGGTAGTTAGCACTGCTGCCTGGTAAACTTTAAGCTTGGTAGCAAGACTTATTCCACGGCGGTCCCACATGTTAGTCCGCAATCTGCCAAATGCAGAACTTGCCTTGGCAATTCTACAGTTGACCTCGATGTCAATTGTCACTGCCCGGGAGAGGGTACTACCAAGATACGTAAATTGGTCCACTGCTTGCAGCTTTTGTCCCTTTACTGTGATGGTAGGCTCTTGATATTGGGCTTTTGGAGCTGGCTGGTACATCACTTCAGTTTTCTTCGTGTTGATGAAGAGGCCAAAGTTGTCACAAGCAGCTGCGAATTTGTCCATGCTGGCTTGCATTTCCTGCTCCGATCCTGCATTAAGGGCACAGTCATCAGCAAAGAGGAGATCTTGTAGCACAGTCTCCTTTACCTTGGTGACAGCCTGAGGTCTTCGCAGGTTGAACAGTTTCCCATCAGTTCTGTACCTGTATTCAGACTAAATATGCCTAGGAGCAAGGTACCTAGCTAGTTTTTAACCAAAGAATTCTTTCTAACTCAAACTGCCATTACTGGATATAATTTACCTGATACGTCCAGAAAGCCAAAGCCCTGGAGCTGATATCCAGAATAATTTCTGGACGCAATCCAGCTAATACCATGGCTTTATATTCCTCCGAAGGACTGAGCTCTGTCCGAACAATATCCAACTTGCCAGAGAGGGCACTGGTGCATGCTGGACAGACTGCTGGCGATCGGCTGAACTCTCCACTGCCATGTTGGTCACAGAAGATATGTGAGCAGGCCGTGACCCACGCGTAGCCTGAAAGCTTGACTCGACATTTGCGATAATTGCAAAGAAGCATATCCTCACAGACAGACATATTATTGCAGCCAAGGAAAATGTATCACAAAGGATTCCTGTGGAAGAGTTATATAGCATTCACTACACAGTATCATAGTTATAGGGCAAAAAAAAATATTACTGTCAACATTTTTAGATTTCTTATATGGTTTAGTCTCAGCACAGACCTGAATTTAGAAAAAAATATGGTCATTTGATCAGACGCAGAGGTGGTATTCAGAAGGACTTAAAATCATTTTTCCCCTTCAAATGCAAATACATTTGCTATTACAGTACAATAAGAGCGTAGAACATGTGATGCTCCTGAACTACGGTTCCCAGCATCCCTTCTGACAGTATAAGAAAGATACTAAATAAATTTGCAACGTCTAAACAACCAAAGAATTACAACTGAACCTAATAAATTGATATGATGGATCAAAGGAAATAAATGAAGCAAAACAACCTGCCTCAAACTGTTGCCTTCCAAATTCGGTTGAAGTATTTTTTTGTCATTCCAAACCAGTTTGGCCAATATATCTGAAAGACATGAATTTGGTGAAAGCAGGAATAACAAAGAGATTGAAGGGTTCTGGAACAAAGGGAAATTGTTTAGTCTAACTGTTGCTTTCTTGCTTTTTGTAATCAGCTTTTGCACCAGAGAAATTTCATGCATGTGTGGGAAACATGTACATGGATGGGATATACTGAAGGAGGGAATAAGGGAGTGTACAGGAATGATTGATGTCTTCTTTATGATGTAATGCCTCTGTTGTCTGATTTTCATTGGCTAACATAGTTTATAAAGCAATGCTACCAACTTTCTAATGTGTGGCACTTCTGGATGGAACTCTGCCAGCGTTCCAGATTGTGGGCTACCCAGCTGCTTATTTTGACCAAATAAAGTGCTGCTTGATCAAGAAGTCTCCGCTTGGGTTATCAAATTAGATTGATATGGTATCTCAAGATTAAGTAAGGGATGGGACCTTACAAGATATTTTGGACTCCAGAGTATTGTTTCAAAGTGTGGCCTAGTAGATATGAACCTTGTGTCCCCCACCTCCACCTCTCTTCGTTATGGGGTCTTTCAGTATTTGGAGTGAGGAGCAAAATGCATGTCTTAAACTTTGCAGAGTTTTAAGGCACCAATTTCATCTCTTTAATTCCCCAACTCACTACTACCATCACCACTATCCTCCAGCTCATTGTTAATTAAAGGGCTAAAGTTTGTCACCCTGGATAATTCCTTCACATTTGATATTTATAATTTCCAGGCTTTAGGTAACCAAAGTTTCCCTTATCTCAATTCATAACAGAATCAAATATTCAAAATACACATCTTATCTATTTGAATATAGTCTTGTTCTATTTCCTAAAAGTTATCTATTTCTCACTATATTAAATCATCCAATTAATAATCTCACTGGAGATTTTTAAGAAGAGGATAGACAGTCACTTGTCTGAGATGGTATAGGTTCTCCTGCTTGAGCAAGGGGCTGGACTAGAAGACCTCCAAAATCCCTTCCAGTTCTATTCTGTTTTGTTTTGTTTTGTTTTGTTCTGTTCAATCTCCAAGGTCCCTTTCAACTCTATTATTCTATGTTCTATGTTTTCAAAAAGAAAGAAAAGAACCATGAAGCTCCAGTTGCCTTTTGCAAAAAAAGCACCTTTAAGACAACCATGACCTGGATGACTGAGAATCTCCATAAGCATTAACAGTCATTTCTTCTTTTCATCATCTGAACAATGCATTTTGCTTTAAAAACACTTGAAAATGCTTGCCATGTTTGTCATGTGTGTAGCAACCCAAAGACCAACTAAGCCAGGATTCCCTCTATAAAGTGCACCATTCTTATGTGCCAAGTTGAAGCACGTGTCCCTTTTCATAGATTTAAATCCAGCCTTCCCATATTTCTCCATATTTCCACCATGTCAACCCTCATTTTTAAAAAACAAAAGTTTAAAAAAAACAAAGTTTCAAAAGCCTCTGTTTTATTTTACCTGCTTAATGCCTGAAACATGCAGGGTTTAGACTAGCTCTTTGTAATTTTTTATGAGCAGTCTTGAAGTGGGGAAAGGAAATGAGGGCTACTCAGGCCTCCTTTCTTAATTAGGAGTGCAAGGAGGATGGCAAATTTCTGCAAATTTCTGCAAGAGCAATCAAAAAGGCACAGCTCTGCCAGAAATGGACAAGGGTCCCCTGAGATCCTCCAGACTGGCCCAGCAGTGCTTAAGGCAGAGAAGCCCTTTTTAACCCGCAGCCATCTTGTAAAATGGCCCTATCCCTGCAGGCCAGAGAGGAGCCAGGTTTGATGGCCATGCAGGCGATTTTTGTATGTTTTTCTGCAGGCCGAATTAGGTTGCCATGGAGACTGGAGCATTGGAGGGGGTGTCTCTCCCTAGAAAAGAGCAGCAATATGTGGGAAAAGGCGGGAAAAGGAGAGCAGGAAGTGGCAGGTGCTCAAGCCCCGCCTCTCCCTCCATCCTGAGAGCCCATCATTGGCCCTGCAAATGATTTTTGCTTAATGGGCCTTAAAGAATAGGGAAATTTAGTCTGCAACAACTATAAATCTGACAGATTATGGTCCTGGTTATAAATTTTATAGATTATTAATCACGAAGAAGCATAATAGCGCAACTATCTATCTGTGTTTGGTAAATAGAATAGAGATGAACAATCCAGACAAGCATAGATTTTGTTTATTTTCTCTTTTTTTAATTTTTATTTTAGACCAACAAAACAAAATGCAACAAAACATTACACACAGACACGTAATATATCCTTTTTTGTTAACAGCAATTTGTAACAGTACTCTTCTATTATTTACATTTCCTCCCTCATTCTTCTTTGAAATATTTGTCCTTATTGCCCCATTGTTTCTTATTTACGTTTTCCTTCTTTCATATTCTACTACTTACTAGAAATAATTCATATTATTATTATTATACATTATTATACACATATTGCCTCTACCAACACCTCATTTTAAATTTCCAATATTATTATTGTAGTAACTCTTGTATTTTTTATAAGACTCGACCGGGATTCCATCTAGGCCTGGTGATCATACAAATATTCTCATAGTCCAAATCCACTAGCTTCTTATATACCTTATTTTTTTAAAAAAAGACTCACGTTAATTATTATTTAGTGCATATACTGTTTTTACTCTAATACTATTTCCAACATTAAAATTCACCCCTTTTCATCCAAGTATATTGATTTGATTTTTTCTTTGACGTATATAATAATTCCTCCTTTCTTGTTTTATGCTAATATTGTATATAATGTTTCTAAATTTTACTTTCTCTAGTAATTTTCTATAATCCTATTTTATATAAACTTCCTAAAGATACATCACATCTACATCCAATTTTTGTTTATTTTCTCTTGTTTGTTGATATCAGATAATGCTTGACCCAACAGAGTTTAAAAAAAAACAAAACCCAAAACTATAAAGAAGCCATCTATAGTTTGCTAACTGTGTTACTCATGAGAGGACCCCATGGTTGCAGATGTGCAACAATAGATACAATATAGGTAAAGGTAGTCCTTGACTTACAATCTTTTGTTTAGTGACAGTACAAAGTTATAATGGCACTGAAAAAAGGCGATTTATGACCATTTTTCACACTTATGATCTTTGCAGCTTCCCTGTGGTCATGTGGTCAAAATTTGGCTGCTTGGCAACTGGCTCATACTTTTGATGGTTGCAGTGTCCCAGAGTCATGCAATCATTTTTTGCAATCTTCTGACAAGCAAAATCAATGGGGACGCCGGATTCACTTAACAACTGTTACTAACTTAACAACTACAGTGATTCACTTTAGCAAGAAAGGTTGTAAAATGGAGCAAAACTCACTTAACAGCTGTCTTATTTAGAAACAGAAATTATGGGCTTAATTATGGCTTTAAGTCAGGGACTACCTTGACTTATGACCATGATTGGGTCCAGAATTTCCATTGCTAAGCAAAGCAGTTGTTTAAGTGAGTCACAACCAATTTTATGACATTTTTGGCACGGTTGTTAAGTGAATCACACAATTGTTAAGTGAATCCAGCTTCCCCCATTGACCTTGTTTACTGGAAGCAGGCTGGGAAGGTCACATGTGATGATTCCATGACCCCTGCAGCTGATGCAAATACATGCCATTTGACAAGAGCCTGAATTTTGATCCTGTCAGGTAGGGAAGAGAAATGGTCATAAGTGCGAGGACTGATCACAAGTCACTTTTTTCAGGGCCGTTTTAAGTTCAAACTATCACTAAACTAATGCTTGTGAACTGAAAACTACCTGTATAGTACAGAAATAACCAGGAAATGGTAATGGTAGTGAAAGGAGAAGAAACTCTATTTGATTTGAAGAATAGAAGATCTTGGAGATCTTCTAGTCCAACTCCTTGCTCAGGCAGGAAACCCTATACCATTTCAGACAAATGGTTGTCCAGTCTCTTATTAAAAACTTCCAGTGCTTCTTGTCCTGCCCTCAGGTGCTTTGGAGAATAGCTTGACTCCCTTTTCTTTGTGGCAGCCCCTCAGATATTGGAACACTGCTATCATGTCTAGTCTTTCTTATCATTAAAATAGACATACCCAATTCCAGCAACCGTTCTTTATATATTTTAGCCAGACATGATATAATATTAGGCAATGAGTCTGCAAGTGTGCAAAACATTATCAAGTATGCCTTGGTCTAATAACAGCCATTATCAGAAGTGGCATTTAGAGTGCACGTATGTGAAGGCTTGGATGTCTGATTTAAAAGATTCCACATTATATCAAGATTTTTTACTTCATCACCCTGGAATTTGGGCAGATTTCAAAATACAGCATTCCAATACACCTAGAGAGCAGATGCTGCTGGTAGGTTTCAGAATCAGAGATATAATCCATAGCTGAGATTAGGTAAAAGAAATGGTGCAGAAGGCAAACAAAAATTAGCTTCAATAGCCCAAAGTTGTTTGGGGGTTTTTTTGTGGTTCAGATAATGAGTTGACGGGATGATTCTGATTCTGATAGTGGATGTTGTGTGTTGCAAGAGAGTTACTAATAATTATTTACAAATAATTCTACTTCTTTGGATGTTCTTTTGCCACCCTTTTAATATGCAATATGTCAAAGGAAAGCTAGAAAGACTTGGCATAATAGTCCTTTCTATTTTGTGGAATTTCAAAGCATCAAATTTATTACCATAATACTAAATCAGAGAATAACTACGATTAGGGATTAAATTGAGGGTTTTGTAGGGAAGTTTAAATTAAATCCAGGGGGGAGGAATTATTCATAATACTGCATGTTAGTCTCTTCATGCACAGATGCACAACTTCAGCAGAGGATAAAAACTGGATAAATAATAAACAGCACCTAAATTACATCTGTACTTATACTACAGAGTTATGCATAATATGGTTATTCTAATTCTTTTAGTTTGCTTTGGCAAAATCTTGTGTTGGCATTGTGAACTCTATAACAGTATTATAGATAGTCCACGACTTACAACAGTTCATTTAGCGACAGTTCAAATTTAAAACTGCACTGGAAAAAAAATAACTTATGACCATTATTCAAAGTTACAAGCATTGCAGCATCCCCATGATCAAAATTCAGGTGCTCAGCAACTGACTCATATTTATGACGGTTGCAGTGTCCCGGGGTCATGTGATCATCTTTTGCGACCTTTCGACAAGCAAAGTCAATGGGGAAAGCTGATTCACTTAACAACCATGTTACTAACTTAACAACTGCAGTGATTCAAATGCTTTACTATCTTATCAAGTAGTAGGTTGCGTTTGAAAATGCAAGTAGATAAATAGGTACCACTTCAGTGGGACGGTATCAGTGTTCCATGCATCTCGGCCTATAGTCATGCTGGCCAGATGACCACGGAATGCTGGCTCCCTCAACTAAGAAACAGCAATGAGCTTCACCCCCAGAATTTGACATGACCAGACAGGGGAAATCTTTATCTTTGTGGTCCTGGTATCTACCCATCCATCTAAAGAATTATATCTTAGGATTCTGCAGTACTGAAGTCCCACAGAAGACAATGTTTTATACCACACGCTATACTTTTGGCCTAACTGACTGAAAATATGACAAGGATTAAAGCAGAACTATCCCAAAATGATTTCTTCTTGCAAACACGGTATACCCCAACACTTTCAAAATTTTACATTACTCTTGTGGACAGAAAAACAAAACAATAATTATACTGCACAAGGTTTATTGTTTGCACATGGGTTTTAGAAAAGCTGATGTACTGGAAGCAGAAATGAGCAATAGCTGGGAAAATGGATATTTGACCGTGCGGGGAAAGATTTGGATACTAAATTTTGATTCTGTAATGATGTCCCCTCTGTTTTTTCTGTTATGTGAGCGATTTTGGAAATGAAACAAGCCCAGGTAACCTTTTGATGACTAGAACAGTGTTTCTCAACCTTGACAATTTTAAGGCATGTGGACTTCAACTCCCAGAATTCCACAGCCAGCCATGCTGGCTGTGGAATTCTGGGAATTGAAGTCCACATGCCTTAAAATTGTCAAGGTTGAGAAACACTGGATTAGAACTACCTTTAATATTTATTTCACCCAAAATTTATACTTAATCTCAGAGAGGCTGAGAATTGCAAAGTAGCTAGAGCTGTGTCACACATATAAACTGTGTGGGTTTAGAAGGATAAGTTAGGAACGGTACAATTCATTCGTATATTCACACAGCCTCCTTGTCCTGACATGAGAATGTTCCACAAACCATTTCCAGAGGCTAAGACCTCCAACTGAAATTGAATTGCATGTTTCATAATTCTCCGACAATCTCTCCTCCGGCGATACACTATATACCCCCTGAAATAAATTATTTCTTCTTTGTTCCCATCGGAAAATCTGTGTGCTTCCACTTGTGTTCCATTGAGGTTGTTTCCGGTCCCTCAGAACTGCTATGAAGATGTCATGCCTCGGAAGGTGATCAAGTACTCAGGGTACGCGTGATCGTCAAAAAATACCACGAAAATATTCGGCTTGGAAAGAACGTCCACCAAACTATCATAGCGGCCGTTTCCCTCTTGTTTCACTGGAGGCAATATCATATTTTCTTTCCCACAACCATATTCTCCCGTAAGAACGCGAGCTTGAAAAACGTATCGGAGCCCTTGCGGATCTGGTTTGGCATAGTACACAGCACGGCCAGCAGCCACAGAAAAATAAATGCCTTGTCCATAGAGACTTTCTAGAAAAAGAAACAAAACAAAAAAAAACCCGTCATACTTATATAGTTACTCTTTTACTTCTCAGTGTTCTGTACACCTTTCCTCCTGATCTACTTAGAATTCACTGGTGTCATTTGACTTGTTTGTTTGTTTAAGCATCCTGTACAGGGGATCCGCGACTTACAACCGCAACTGAGCCCAATATTTCTATGGCTGAGCAAAACAGTTGCTATGTGAGTTTTGCCCCATTTTACGACCTTTCTTGCCATAGCTGTTAAGTGAATCACTGCTGTTGTTAATTAAATAACACGGTTTGTTAAGTGAATCTGGCTTCCCTGTTGATTTTTGCTTGCCAGAAAGTCACCAGAAGTGATTACCCAATGAACCCGGGACACTGCAGCCATCATAAATATGAGTCAGTTGCACAGTGTCTGAATTTTGATCACGTGGCCAAGGGGATGCTGCAATGGTCGTAAGTGTGAAAAGCGGTCATAAGTCACCTTTCTCAGCACTGCTATAACTTTGAACAGTCACTAAGATAACTGTTGTAAGTCGAGGACTACCTGTATTTGTATTTATAACAAATATAGTCAGAATACATTGAATTTACACATATATGACCAGTGTGGATCTTCCATTGTTCATGAACCTTTGGACTTACATTAGATCTTGTAAATGTGGCAAGTTTTTTTTTATAAGACATTTTATTGGTTTTTTTTATTTAAATTCTTAAGAAAAAGTACTCAGGACCCACCGTGGTGGTTGGGTGGTCAAACATTCAAAAGTAAAAATATATATAAACAACACAACTCAATACATTTCACTATCTCCTCTCTATTCCCCTCAAATAACATAATACATTTAAATATCCCATTTCTATTTTTAATTTCTATCACTATTAAACCTGTATTATAGTTTTATCAGTTTACAATTACAATAGTTAAAAATTTAAAACAAAAATTATCAATTCTAATTCTAAATCTCTCACATCCCTCTAAATGTGGCAAGTTTTAATGAGGTCAAGAAAATATGGACCATATTTTTAGTTCTCATAGACCAGTGGTAGCGAACCTATGGCACGGGTGCCAGAGGCGGCACTCAGAGCCCTCTTTGTGGGCACACACATCATCTCCCCAGCCCCGCCTCCTCCCATGGCCCTCTCCTCACCAGCAGCCCCCCCGGAGGAGAGTCACCCCTGGGCACGGCCCATGCGAAGCAGCGCAGCCAAGGACATGGTAGCCGGGCAGCGGGGAGAAGACTGCCCTTGTGCCCTGTTGCATGCAGATGATGCTGCAGGGCATGGGCACAGGGCATGGCCACCATGGCGCTGCTGGGCTGGCTGGTGATCTGTGGTGGGCAGTGGAGGTGGTGGGTGGCCCAGTGGGCAGGGCAGAGCGGGGACGGGGGTGGGGGTGGTTTTGGGGCACTCGGTCTCTAAAAGCTTTGCCATCACTGTCATAGACCCAGACGATATGCACATTTTAGAATTAGTCACATGTAAAAGATGAGTATTGATCTGTGGAATTCATCTTTCCAGGATGTTTCTCAGACATTAACCTGGAATTAAGGAGAAACCTCTTAACAGTGAGGATAATTAACCAGTGGAACAGCTTACTTTCAAAAGTTGCGGGTGTCCCATCACTGGAGATTTTTAAGAAGAGACTGGACAGCCACTTGTCTGAAATGTATAGGGTCTCCTGATTGAGCAGGGGGGTTTGACTAGAACAGCCCCCCCCCCAGTCCACGGACCGGCACCGGGCCATGGCATGCCAGCAACCGGGCCGCCCAAACAAGCGAAGCCCCATCTGCGGGATTCAGGCAGCACACAAAACCATGCCCCCTCTGGTCCGGAGAAAAATATTTCTCCATAGAACCAGTCCCTGGTGCCCAAAGGTTTTGGGGCCTATGGACTAGAACACCTCCAAGATCCCTTCCAGCTCTATTCTGATTGATTGATTGATTGACATTCGTACAGCTCAACCTCTGAACTGCAAATAAAAAGCAAACCAAAATTGACCGAAGGAAACAGTGCTGGAGGGCAGGGTGTCCTTTTGGTGATTTTGTTCTAAAAACAGTGTAAGTTACAGTGCTACAAATGTGAATAGTTTGAAGTTTGCGCTATTCAAGAAATAGTTTGCTTTTTATACTTCAAACAAAAATCTCCCCCGGTAGACACTAAAAACAACCGATTTCTATTGACTGAATATTCAGAATTTTAAGGCTATTCAAGAGCTCACCCCAACCTTAAATCTCTTCTGTTATGACAGTGGTTCTCAACCTGTGGGTCAGGACCCCATTTGGGGTCGAACGACCATTTCACGGGGGTCGCCAAGCAACGCAGTCCCCCATTTTTCCCCCCCTTTTCCTTAGCTGTGCTACTCCCTTTTGTTCTATTGGCTTTTGAAAGCCAATAGAATAGACTCTCTTGAATAGAGTCTAATTCTATTGGCTTTCAAAAGCCAATAGGAATTGTCCAGGCTGTCTCTGCCCTGCTGAGCCCGCCAAAAGTCCCATTCTGCAAACGGTGCAGCACCAGTTGAGTAGTCCTCGACTTACGACCGGTTGAGTAGTCCTCAACGTACGGCCGGTTGGGGGTCGCGGCATTAAAAAGATTGAGCACTGTGTTATGAGCTCTGGTTTCTTATGTTATCTATATCTCCTTGAATTATGCAGATATTATTCCTTCTTTTGGTTCCCCACCCTTTTTATTGTCTCTCTTCTAGCAAGACTTGAAGTTAGGATAATAAAAACCGGCAGCAAAATTATCATGTATTGGACTCTTTACTGATCGATTTATTTGTTCGAGAGTGGTGAACTAAACAACTTTTGGGAAAGAACGATAGGAACCCCTTTCTCAGTCACTTACGCTTTCGAAAAGCATTTTTGAAGCCAATCTCACAGACAGAGGAACAGTTTTCTGACAGCGTCCCATGATAGAGAATAAGTTCATTCTTTGTCCCTTCTGGATTTCTTTTCTCCATCCAGCTTTTTTTCCAGCAATAAGAAACCCACAAATATCGGTTTTGGATCCTCTCTACCTATATGCAAAAAGCAAGAATCTTGGTGAGTCATTTTATTTTATTGAGCCCTGTGTGTCTGAGGAAAGAAGGGAGGGAGGAGAGGAAAGGAAGGGAGGGAGGAAGGAAGGAAGGAAGGAAGGAAGGAAGGAAGGAAGGAAGGAAGGAAGGAAGGAAGGAAGGAAGGAAGGAAGGAAGGAAGGAAGGGAAAGGAGAAAGAGAGACAGAAAGAAAGAAAAGACAGAAAGAAAGAAAGAAAGAAAGAAAGAAAGAAAGAAAGAAAGAAAGAAAGAAAGAAAGAATATGAACAGAAACTTGAGTCACAGGTTTATTTTTCACACATCTTAAATTGTAGATTGAGAAAAGTATAATAAGAGTTTTGTGGAGTTTTGTTACTTTTTGCTACCCGCATCTAGATATGTAAGGGATCACTTTATCATGAAATGAACTATATCAAATCTCAACTTTAAAAGAAAGTTTGGCACTATTGTAATATGTAACTGGGCTCTCTTGCTTAAATAATCTAAAATTAGCTATTTTTCTTTTTCCCTACTTTGTGCTTATTCTATGCTTCTTATCTATTATAGTCTGAATTTTATCATCTGATTTAAAGAACGGGATGCCTTAAAAAAAAAAAGCTACAGGCTGGCTGGGGACTTCTGGGAGCTGAAGTCCAGAAATAATAAAGTTGCTAAGGTTGGAAAAGACTGATCTACATTAATTTATCTTAATAGCAAGGTCTCCAATTGATCACAACTTACTTTGACAACATTGTAGTTCCCAGCTGTCTTGTTGAAATTCTTCACAACATCCTGATATTCCTTTGAATGTGCCTGCAGTTCCACTTTCTTAACTAATCCATCCATGGCTTCCCAGTAGGGAGCAATATTCTTGTCTACAACAAATAAATTGAATGAACAAATGAATAAATGAACTACGGTTCTCTTCTGATACACTGTATAGGTAGGAAGAACATTTTTGACCATGGAAAGTCGTCTGCCTTGACAAATTCATCATGTAGACAACCTAGGCTTTTGCAATCAATCTATTTATTTCACTTAGGGAAGAATGATTTAAATCCTCATATACTTAAGTATTCTACAGTAAATCTTAAATTGTGATGCTCGGGATGAAATGGGATGAGTGTCCAAGGCAGAATCAAGTGTTGTGTGAGAAAGACCACCAAGTAGGACTGCTGCTATTATTGTGGTCTAGGATGGTCCAATATACTGCAGATCCCATCAGCCAAAGATGGGCTTTCTCCGCAGTGGCCCCTGATCTATGGAATATCCTCCCATTGGAAATTAAAATGGTCCCAACCCTGTTAGCCTTTTGTAATGCCCCAAAAAACTGGTTAGAATAGAATAATAACTATTGTGACTTTGAATGTACACTAATCAGCATACGTTAAAATGAAATTTTGTTGCATACAGCTCTGAAAGGGTCACCACCTCCGACATGCACTACATAAATATGACAAAAATAAATACAGAATTATGCATATACCCACATATATTACATGACACAGAGAAACAATAGTCTAGTTCGGGTTATATATACATGTGCATGGAGAGAAAAACAAATCTTGCGACTTTACTAGATGGATGGCATAAGGAAGAAAGCTATTGCAGAATCAGGTAGTGCTGCTATAAATACTTCAAAACCTCCTCCCAGAGGGGAGCAACAGAAACAGACTGTAAAGTGGGTGTGTGGGGTCTCTAACAAGGCTTTGAGCTCTAAGCACATATAAGCACTTATAAGCAGCACCCTGAATACCAGGAAGCAAGGTTCCTATGATCTTCTTGGCTGTCCTTACCAATCTCTGTATGGACTTTGTGTCTGAGGCACCAAACCAGACAGTGATGCAGTTTGTTAAAATGCTTTCAATCGTGCCTCTGTAAAAAGTGGCCAGGACAGAAGGAAAAAAATGTGGTTCCTCATCCGATGCAGGAAATGCATATGCTGGTTTGTACGCTTCTGTTTCCAAGTCTGAAGTGCTGAATGAGTTAAGGACCCCGTTTCCTGGCTGCATGGCTAACTGGTCAAGTATCTCAGCTGCTGTGTATATTTATTTTGGATGTTTCTATTGTTTTTTATTATTTTAAAATGTTTTCAGTATTTTAATTGTATCTTTTTTGAACTGTAAACTGCCTAGAGTCATTGACCGAGGGGATAGCTGTAGAAATTGAATAAATAAATGAAACGTGAAGAGAACATTGGGGATTTAAAAGCGCTGGGGAGTGGACCTCTTGAGTGATAAGCAGGAAATGAATAACAGAGTTGGAAGGGACTTTGGAGGTCTTCTAGTCCACCCCCGTTCAAGCAGGAAACCCTATATCATTTCAGACAAAGAGCTGTCCAATCTCTTCTTAAAAACCTCCAGTGATGGAGCACCCACAACTTCTGAAGGTAAGCTGTTCCACTGGTTAATTGTTCTGCAGGAAATTTCTCCTTAGTTCTGGATTGGTTCTCTCCCTGATTAATTTCCAGCCACTGCTTCTTGTCCTGTCTTCAGGTGCTTTGGAGAATAGCTTGACTCCCTCTTCTTTGTGGCAATCCCTGAGGTATTGGAACACTGCTATTATGTCACCCCTAGTCCTTCTTTTCATGACATGGTAGGACTCAATGGTTGGGTTTCTACAGAAAAAGAAAGACCAGAATTTATAGCTGGTACTTGATTTTATGTCAGTGGTCTCTTTTCAGGGCAGGGAAAGCTGAGTCCCATAATCACCAGCCTTCACCAGCTATTTTGGACTAGGGAGCCATTATAACCGTGGCTCATGTCTTCATCTTCACACAGTTGGGCTACTATGACATGCTATACGTGAGGCTGCCCTTGAAGATGGCTTTGAATCTATTATAATTGACTCAAAATAAGAGATTTGTCAGTCTAACACCTCTGTTTTAGTCTCTGCATTGGATGCCAGAGAGTTTCTCTGTCTAGGGAAAACTGAACAATTGCACAAGTAGTCTTAGACTTACAATCATTCGTTTAGTGACCGTTCAAAGTTACAACAGCATTGAAAAAAGTGACTGATGACCCATCCTCGCACTTACGACTGCCGCAGAAGTTGTACTTGTACTTATAACTGTTGCACTGTCCCAGAATCATGAAATTACCTTCCTAGCCAGCTGCCGACAAGCAAAGTCAATGGGAGGAAGCCAGATTTGCATATGACTGCATGATTTTCTTCACAACCACAATGATTTGCTTAACAACCGTGGCAAAAAGTTGTAAAATGGGGCAAAACCCGCTTAGGAATGGAAATTTAGGGCTCGGGATCCAATCTGAGTCGGTGCCTGGGACCACAGGCTTATTCTTATAAGCTGGAGCCCATCCTCTCTCTCTGGAATATGTGCGTTTTGGGCTCAATTGTGATCGTAAGTCAAGAAACTACCTGTATATCTATCATTTAAAAAAAAGAAAAGACTTTGGGCTTATTCTGTGCATTAATAAAAAGATGATTAGGGGACTGGAGGCTAAAGCATATAAGCAAAGGCTGCTGGAATTGGGTATGTCTAGTTTAACGAAGAGAAGGACGAGGGGGGACATGATAGCCGTGTTCCATTATCTCAGGGGCTGCCACAAAGAAGAGGGAGTCAAGCTATTCTCCAAAGCACCTGAAGGCAGGACAAAAAGCAGTGGATGGAAACTAATCAAGGAGAGAAGCAACCTAGAACTAAGGAGAAACTTCCTGACAGTTAGAACAATTAACCAGTGGAACAACCTGCCTCCAGAAGTGATGAATGCTCCAACCCTGGAAGTTTTTAAAGAAGAAACTGGACAGCCATTTGTCTGAAAATGTTATAGGGTTTCCTGCCTGAGCAGGGGGTTGGACTAGATGACCTCCAAGGTCCCTTCCAACTTCTTATTATTATTATTATTATTATTATTATTATGTAGGCATGAACATTGCTCTTCAGGATACCAAAAGCAGAGCTGTCTGGGCAGTTTTTAAAGACTACAATTGAAACTCTTAATATATAATCATGACTCTGAACTTGGCTAAGCAATGCAGCTTGATATAGCTTATGTTGGGATAGGATTATGAAAGGAAACCTTGTTTTAGATCCAAAATCTATTATACTTATGTCATTAGGATCGGCCATAAAAGATTAATGGAAAGAAACCGTTCACTTTTTTTTACCTTTTTCAAAGCTTGGGATAGTTTGTTTGCGAATTTCCCATGATAAAAAGGTTAAATACCAACATATATCAATTATGTGACAGTGCTGACTTTACTCTGAACCTCTGCCCAGCATTCAGTTGCAACATCAGAACAATAGCATGAAGAAAGTCACCTTGACTTCTAAGCCTGTTGCTTGCTCAGAATCAAGGCTGAACTCAACAATATACAGTAATTAGTCTTTCAAACTGAAGAAGTGCAAAGTGTCTTTAGTAGGAGAGCTCCTCTGCTACAAATTCTATTATCCAGCCTTGTGTTATATTATATATATATTATATCTGTGTGTCATATGTCATATTATATATAGATTATAATATGGATAAGTGTTTCACAACCTTGGCAACTTTAACATGGGGATGGGAGAACGTCAACTCCCAGAATTCCCCAGCCAGCCATTTTTGGTGAGGAATTCTGGGAGTTGAAGTCCACCCATCTTAAAGTTGCCAAGGTTGAAAAATATTGTATGTATTGTACTATATTGTATTTCTGTTCTGTTCTGTTCTGTTCTGTTCTGTTCTAGTCTAGTCTAGTCTAGTCTAGTCTCATATTGTATTATTTCTTTTTCAGAGAAACATTTTGAATACCATATACCCTGGGAGGATTTAAAAGTACACTCACTTCCTTTGTAAACCCACTTTTTAAGCTTTACTCTAAAATCAAACTGGTTTCCACATATATATAATATAAAAAAATAAAGCTGGTTATGAATATTTGCTGACTGAGGCCTTTGCCCTCAGATCCGCTTGGCCATATCCTCAAAGCAACTGTATAACCCTTTTGAAAATATCCATAATTTTTATTCTGCTAAGCAAAGTTATTAATGCAGATCACACTTTTAAAAGGGATGTCAAACCTTTCACTGAATACTGCTGAAATCTTACACATGTTTTCCCTAGCAGAAAAAAACTTAGATCGGATAAACAAGTGGGTGGAATATGGTGAGTCAGAATTACCTGACAATGCTGTTTATTTATTAGCAATGTTATAGTAAAAAAAATATCTGTTGATTTCTCTAGGCTAAAATACAAGTAAAATAGATTCTCTGTCAAAGAAAGCAACCCACTAAAGCAGGGGTGTCAAACTCAATTTCATTGAGGGCCGCATCAGCATTGCGGTTGCCCTTGGGGGGGCAGGGGGCAGCCTACTGAGTGGGCATGGCCACCTCTACATCGTTCGTGTCAAGGGTGCCTGTGGGGGCCTGGGCAGGAGTGGGACAGATCTGAGGGTCTCTGGCAAAAGGGAGTGGGACCAGGGCAAGCGCCAAGGCACGGTCCATTTCTTCATTCCTCACAAAGGGTGACGCCTCCCCAGCATGCACCCAGGGGGCGGGACCGACGTGGCAGGGGCTGGTTCCTCGCTGTTTCCAGAAGGCCTTGTGGAGCTAAGACTGAATGCGTTTCAGCCTAGATGGCCACCACAAAATTGTACATTGGCTCCCTCCCAGGCCAGGGCCAAGGCAGCGGGGGCCGTTCCCTCACTGTTTCCAGGATGGCTTCGCGGGCCACATGAAACCACTTCGCGGGCCACATCCGACCCCTGGGCCTTGTGTTTGACATGTCTGCACTAAAGAATGGAGTAAGAAAAAGTGAAAATGGGGATGATATAAGAAATGTAGATACCGCTTCCATAGAAAATCTAATAAAAAGGGTGATATAGAAAGAGTGAATAGAAAATATCTACAGAACCCTCACATTCTAAAAACAAACTGTTTCAATTCCTTCCCTCAGGATGCCGTTATAGGGCATTGCATGCCAAAATAACTAGACATAAAAACAGTTTTTTCCCCTGTGTCATCATTCTGCTAAACACCTAATTCACACATCACTGTCTTATGCCTAATGATATTTACCCATGTAATAGGACCTTATTCTCATCTTTCCTATTACCTTCTCCTTTTGGTATCTTATGATTTATCATTTTGTTGTTTGTATCTTATGATTTATGATTGTATTTTGTGATGTATGATCTATGACTTATCACTTTGTTGATTGTATTTACACTGAAAGTTTCTGCACTGGAGAGAAATTCCTTGTGTGCCCAATCATACTTGGCCGATAAAGAATATTCTATTCTGTTCTGTTCTGTTCTTCTAGCCTAGTCTAGTCTAGTCTAGTCTATTATTTTACTATATTCTATTCTGTCCTGTCCTATCCTACCCTACCCTATCCTATTCTAGTAATCTAGTCTACTCTAGTCTAGTCTAATCTAATCTAATCTAATCTAATCTAATCTAATCTAATCTAATCTAGCCTAAAAAGAGAGTTTTTAATAAAGTAAGGCACGTTCTTCTTACCCCATAAGCAGATCTCTCTCCTTATCCTGATTTTTTTCTTGCTTGGCATGAAAGCTTCACCTGTCAGAAAGTTGATTGCCAGTTTTTGTCCATACCATGGCACTAATGCCTCTGTTTTCTTCTCACTATATGCCTGCTCCAGATAGCGATTGGTTAGCATGTCAAAAGTAGACCATCCGGCATCAGACCTATGATGCCAACGGATAGTCTCATACAGAAGCTTGGAATCTGTGTGTTCAGCTTGAGCTTTTTCGATCTTTGCCACAAGAACTTCCTCTAACTTGGTGTAAATCTTCCCAGAAACATTTTCAACATCTTCTTGAGAACCACAAAGCCAAACCACCTTTTCTGTTAGGCGATGGAAGACAACTGGATACTGAGGTGAGACAGCTTCGCAAAGGGCTTTAAGGCTGTCATTACTGAAGGTTGATAGCTCGGCACTACAGATGGTTTTTTTGTGGAATTTAGCAATGAAATCTGACAAATGCTGCTTGAGTGAAGTCACTTCGCTTCTGATGCCCACTACATGGATCACAGCCCTGTGGTCCTCAGCTAAGTCCTGGAAGGGAGGGGGAAAAAGAACACTTTTTTGGAAGAAAATCAACATCAAACAGGTTAGAAATGTGGATGTCAGTTTTAATATGCATTGCACTTGTGTCAGAAGCACCAAGGCACTTCCAGGTTTTCAGGATTAACCAGTGACATCACTATTGCCTGGGGAATACCTAGTAAGAGGGCTCCTTCATGTCCCTGTAGGATCTAGAGCAAACAATGGGAGCTCACTCCATCCCATAGCAGCACTCAGGCCTTGAATGCAAGTTTGCTAACCTCCAACCCAGTGTCCTAATCACATGAACCACAGTGTTCCTTTTAATTTATGTTTCTAGAACTCAACATACTGGAATTATTCCCAATTCCATTTAGACAATTACTACAAAACCAATTTAAAGAAAAAAGTACTTCTAGTACTGAGGAAATATCAAATCAATCATTAATCAGGCAACTTATATAGTGAATACATGCCTCAATTGGGGCTTGGATTTGACACAAGCTAGGTCCAGTTTTGGCATAGTTGTTAAGACAGTAGCTTAGGAATTAGAAGACGGTGAGTTTTAGTCCTGTCTTAGGTACAAAACCTGCTTGGTGACTTTAAGCCAGTCACTGCCTTAGGAAGCAGTCAAATCTCTTCTGATATGTTGCCAAGAAAACAGCAGAATTCTGGGAGTTGGTCCACCCATCTTAAAGTTGCCAAGATTGAAAAATATTCTATTCTATTCTATTCTATTCTATTCTATTCTATTCTATTCTATTCTATTCTATTCTATTCTATTCTATTCTATTCTTCTATTCCATTCCATTCCATTCTATTCTATGAACTGGGAGACTGTGAGTTCTAGCTGCCAAGAAAACTGCAGGAGCCAGTACAGGTGCCAGCACTGACTTGAAGACATATATACAAAAGAGGGGAATGCAGACAGTCCTTGACTTGCAACCATTTTTTTAGTGACCATTCAAAGTTACAATGGCACTTTAAAAAATGTTACTTAGGACCTTTTTCTGCCCACACTTACAACCGCTGTAACATTCCCATGGTCATGTGACCAAAGTTCAATGCTCAGCAACTGGCTGTAATGGTTGTCAGTGTCCTGGGGGTCATGTGATCCCCTTCTATGACCTTCTGACAAGCAAAGTCAATGGGGACGCCAGATTCACTTAACAACCATGTTACTAACTGAATAAACTGCAGGGATTTCCTTAACAACAGTGGGAAGAAAGGCTGTAAAAATGGGGCACAACTCACTTAACAACTGTCTTTTTAAACAAATTTTGGGCTCAGTTGCAAGGACTACCTAAATACATTTGACAGAAGGACAGAGAAGAACAATTAACTGTTGCCTTTAAAAACACCATCACTTACTTGCAATACTTCCCCATTACTACGGGTAGTTCCATTGCTAGAACTATGGTTCCCCTGAGTTTGCATCTTTACAATACAATTCTGGGTTTCTGCCATGTTCTTCAGCAGATCTGCCCCATCCTCAGAGAAGTAGATGCATAATGTTTTCTTCTTCAGAGGTATCAGACCAAACATCAGAGAATCCAAATCTTTCTTGATCACAGGAATGGCTTCCTTCACAAATTTCCGGAGTCCTTTCACTTGCAATGACAACCTACAATTGCTCGGCTTGAATTTGATGTTTACCTTGAGGTGTTCCCAATCCATAATATGAAGGAGACTTTCCCCACCAGCTAATACTAATTCTGATCTAGTAAGCATCATACTTTCTTTCAAAGGGGAATTATCTCTTAAGTGCTCCTTAATATATTCTTCTACCTCAGCAGCCCGAGGAGAAGGACCAACCACAGTGACTTGGTTGGGTGGAGTGTAATGAACAGCAACGTCCTTATGAGACTTTAATCTGTTCAACAACTCTTCCCACTCTGTCTCCTCAGTGACCCATTGCAACTGATCTGCAATCTCCACGGTCTTCTCACACACTTGTTCCATCAGGAGCTTTTTAGCTTCTTGGAGTTCACCCAAGCTTAAACCACCAATCTGGACAACTTCAGAGATCTCAAAAATGGCCAGGATGTTCCTTTCTGAAAAAAAACCATCGTGAAAGAGCTTGCCCCATTGTGCCTTGACAAACTGAAACTGGAGTTCGGAGAGAGAGACCGGTAAAAATTGGAAACCACTAAAGAGCTCTTCAAAGTGCCTTCTCAGTTCCACCAACTTCTGACGGGGACCTCTAAATATGATAGTTGCTGGATCTTTGGCCAACATTTCTGTGCTTACAAAAGGGCTTGTTGGAAATCTCTTCTGGAACAAGCTTTTTTTTATAACAATATAAGGGACTGACTCATATTGAGCTTTGACTTCAATTATTTCAGATAGGTATTTCTCAATTTTTCTATGAACAGCTTCCAGAACATTCTCCACATCTTCTTGGAAACCACAAATCTGGAGTTCATCATCCTGCGACCAACGGATATCTACAGGAAAATTGTGGAATATGTTCCTAAGGAACTCATCAATGTTCATATTTTTAGAAGTGGCAATTGCTTCATGACGGATGGATTTTGTAGAAAACTTTGTGATGAAGCCAGCCACATTTTGCTTCAATAAGATCACGGGGTCCCTTTTGCCCATTACATATATTGCCTCTGAGAAACCCGTAGCGAATCTCTAAAAATAAAGAAAATTGGATGTTAAGGACACAATAGTTCTTGATATGATCTACAATGTTAAGTCATAAAATCAGTGTGAAGCATTCTAAATTTATAGCTGAGAAACTAATTCTTCCCATCAGTATCTTTGATAATTTTCCATCTTCGCCTATTACTTTCTGATGCAGGAGCATGAGTCAGCCATATGGATTTTTATCTTACTTTCACATTTATCTGGTTATTAAATATATTGTGCCAGCCTGACCATAATGTGTGTTCTACAGAGAAGAGCAACAAAGATGATTAGAGGACTGGAGGCTAAAACATATAAGGAACGGTTGCTGGAATTGGGTATGTCTAGTTTAACGAAGAGAAGGACGAGGGGGGACATGATAGCAGTGTTCCAATATCTCAGGGGCTGCCACAAAGAAGAGGGAGTCAAGCTATTCTCCAAAGCGCCTGAGGGCAGGACAAGAAGCAACGGGTGGAAACTAACCAAAGAGAGAAGCAACCTAGAACTAAGGAGAAACTTCATGACAGTTAGCACAATTAACCAGTGGAACAACCTGCCTCCAGAAGTGGTGAATGCACCAACACTGGAAGTTTTTAAGAAGAAACTGGACAGCCATTTGTTTGAAATGGTATAGGGTTTCCTGCCTGAGCAGGGGGTTGGACTAGTTGACTTCCAAGGTCCCTTCCAACTTTATCATTATTATTATTGTTATTGTTATTATTATCTGCATGAAGCAACTCCAGAGATGATCACCTGAATAGCTGAATTGAATATCCAGTTATGAATCCACAGCTGTAACAGCTTAGAAGTTATGTATATAATTATGTGGATGGCGTGAATGTTTACTTCTCTTCTGTCATATTCTCATAAATAAATACATTTATTTTAGAGATGAAAACATGAAGACCTCCTCCCACCTGACAGGGGACATCAGAAACGTAACCGCTACATTATAAACAATAAAACTTGGCTACATACTTAATTGTCAATGAACACCAATCATGGGGCATATACCAAATTGTGAAGATAATTCACAATTTTAATAACCTGGAAACATTATGTCAAAACCAGTATTTCCAGAACTGTTTCCAGCCAGATAGAGCCACGAGGACAACCTGAATACCCATCAATGGTAGGATCCAATGAGACTAGGACAGCTTCCATTCAGCTTTCAATGAAAAACCAGAAGTGGACAGTAAAGTCAAAGGGAATCTAATGAACTCTCATACATCTAGACTAGAATGGACGCAAGATTGACACTGCAGCTGGGATAAAAGCTAAGCCACACATCACTTTCCTTAAGCTGTCCTGCATTAGATCAGTAAGGACAGCACTAATCATGCTCACCTGAATGTGCAATCAAAGCCATCATAATTTACGCTAGTATAATTTTTTGCAAGCTCATGGGCAGACAACATAGCACTGAATTTTGAGAAAATAACCTGTTTAGATTCCGCCCTTAAGAAGCGAGCATCAGTGTTTTGACTATTTTACACATAATGACCCATATTCTTAACTTAACCTTGTTTAGGATGAATTGAACCATCTTCCTTACCACGTTGCAAGCTTTTTCAAAAACCAAATAGAAACTATAAAAAATGGATTATACTTACCTCTTTTATGAGGTCCTCATTATTTATGAAGCTGTTCCAACCATCGGGATTTTCAGTCTTCATCCCGGCAATGCAGCCCAACGGCCAAGCCATGTTCTTGAGCAGACTGGCTCCAACTCCAGAGAAGTATTCACTAAGAATTCTCTTCCTTAGAGGTACTATATCAAACGCCAAAGAATCCAAGTCCTTCTTGATGGCTGGCAGGGCTTTTTTCACGTATTTTTGAAGACCACTCACCAGCAGCACTAAAGGCTGACTGTTCACCTGGAATGCGACATTCATGCCGAGATGTTCCCAGCCCATTATATGAAGCAGATCCTTCCCAGCTAAAGCTAATTCTGGTCCAGTGAGTCTCACTTTTTCTTCCATAGGAGAATTCTCTCTCAAGTATTCCTTAATAGAGTCTTCTGCTTGAAAGACCAGAGGATAGAAACCCACCAAGATCACCCAACCAGGTGCCACATGATGAATGGCTACTTCCTTATGGGTTCCCAGTCTTTGCAGCAGCTCCTTCCAGTCTGAACACTCAGTAGCCCATTTCAAGTCTCCTGCAATGTCCACAGTCCTTTCACACACTAGCTTCATGAGGATCTCTTTGGCTTCCTTCATTTTGCCCAAGTCTAGGCCAGCAATTTGGACAACCTGAGAGAGCTCCAAAACAACAGGGATGCTCCTTTCTAGGAAGAAATGGTTGTAGAACACTTTGCCCCAATGTGCCTTGACAAATTGCAACTGGAAATTAGACAAAGGTATTGGTAGAATCTGGAAGGTGTTCAAGAGCTCCTTGAGACGCCTCTCTGCTTCCTTGACTCTCCGATGGGGTCCCCAGAATCTGATAGTTGCTGGAGTCTTAGCAATAATTTCAAGCTTTATCATAGGATTGGATGGGAGTATCTCCTGAAGGACAACATCTTTGGCAATAGTATACCAGGGCAATGGTTCAGCTGTGCACTCCCAGCTCACCCATTGCCTCTGAGATGCCTCCTGGGCAAGGCATTGTAAGAAGCAACAGACCTCATCCAACAGGCCTACAAGCCACATTCGGTCAAGGATGTAGATCCTGAGGGATTTGTATCTCTTCATAAGTCTTTGGTGGTCAATCAGGACTTTTAGAATCTCTCCCCGTGTCTCACAATGCAGCACATACTTCTTCCGCACAAACTCAAAGGCTTTTTCTAAGTCAAGCAGCTGCATAGACTGGTTGATGGCCTGGAATATCAATAGTCTCCAATCAAAGTCGATCTGGATGTCATAACCAGCCTTCTTCAGTTGCACTTGAAATTCATTGAAGGCGCTTGAGTTCTCCTCAAGGTACTGGAGAAAAAGTGGTTCTTCCATGTGACATAATCCCACCGGCTCTAAAAGAAAGATGGATGTCATGAACATTAGGCCAGGTTGCTACCATGGTCTGAGATCTTAGTTTCCCTACTCCCTCGTGAAATACTTAAAAGGGAAAATGCCTTTACAGAAAATGGGAAGGGAGGAAAAATTGAAAATTAGTTGTAGAGAATAAACTCAGTCTGGATTACTGTAATTCCACTATATGTGGCCAAGATCAAAGTCTTGTTATCCAACTATAAGCTAAAAGTATGTCTTCTCAATCTCATCTTCAAATCTAAAGCTACGTTGTGGCTGTTTAATCATGCTATCAATTCAGTTGGCTAAGTACAACTGTGACCAGAATTTCTTTTGTTAAGCAAAGCAGTTAAGTGTGTCTTGCACAATTTTTTATTTTTATTTTTTCCCCTGGTTAAGTGTATCACTGAAGTTAAGTGGATCACACAGTCATTAAGCAAATCTGATCCCATATATCCAGTTCACGGTCTGTTTCTGTTGCTCCCCTCTGGGAGGAGGTTTCAAAGTATTTACAGCAGGACTACCAGATTCTGTAACAGCTTTTGTTCCCTATGCCATTCGTCTTGTAAATTCGCAGGATTCTTTTTTCTCGCCATGTACATCTGAACTAGACTGTGTTATTTGTCTGGGTCATATATATGTGTGTATCTGATTATATGCATATTTTTTAATTTTTGGTCATGTTTATGCAGTGTATATTGGAGGTGGTTATCCTTTGAGAGCTGCATGCAAAGAAATATCATTTTAATGTATGCTGATTAATGTACATTTAAAGTGACAATAAAATTACTATTCTATTCTGTTCTTGTTCGTGTTCCTATTCTATTCTATTTTCTGGCTTTCCCCATTTTGTCCGAAACCAGCTGGGAAGATCACAAATGACAATCAAGTGAGCCCAAGATACTGCAACCATTGGAAATACATGTGAATTTTTTTATCAGTGGTTGTAAGGATGATGGTCATAAATGTGAGCACCAGTTGTAAGTCACTTTTTTCAGTGCCACTGTCACTTCAAATAATCACTAAATGAATGGTTGTAAGTTTTCCTATCACAGCTCAGGTGCTGTGATAGGGAGGGGTGAAAGCTCTTTTGCAAATTCATTTTTTTGCCTGGTTTTTGAAGGTTTCAGAATAACAGAGTTGGAAGGGACGATCTGTACATTCAACTTGTTAAGCAAATCATATTCATTTCAAAACCAGGCACCAGGGACCATATTTTGTTGGAACTCTATTGTGTCATTTGCAGAATTCTTTAGGGTGCTGCTAACCAGGCAGCATTCTTAAGATTGGTTTCGGATTTGTTTATTATGGCACTAGTTAGGGCAGACATGTCAAACTCGTGACGTTGCGCAATCTACCGGGCCAGTTTTGCCATTGCCGGCAATGGGGTGGGCATGGCTTCTGGATGACACGTCTGGCCCGTGGGCCGGCAGTTTGACACCCCTGAGTTAAGGGGATCAGAAAATACTCTACAGATGATGTGGACAAACTTAAAAATAAACAGTGTGAAGGGATTTTATTATGCTTAAGGTTGATATTAGTAATATTGATATTAGTAGTGATATTTTGTAATTATATATATATATATAGGTCTTTAGTCTTTAGCAATGCTCCTCGAAGCACGAAGCTGAAAACACCAGCCTGAAGAAGACGAATGGGACTTCGTCGAAACATCGGCAAGACCCTTCCAATTTCACGTGGGAGAAAACCCGAACAACCAAAGACATATATATATGTAATATATATATATATATATATATATATATATATATATATATATATATATAACCCCCCTGCAACTCAGACTAACCTGAGCACAACCAAACAGAACACTCCCCCAGCCAATCAGAGCACAGCCAACCCCCCAGCCAATCAGAGCACAGCCAAGCCCCTAACCAATCAGAACACACCTCCACCCAATCAGAACACAGCCAAGCTCCCACCCAATCAGTTCATACCCCCACTGGCAGTTAAAAGGAAGAAACAGCTAAGACCACACATTGCTGCTCGAAGCACGAAGCTGAAAACACCAGCCTGAAGATGACGAATGGGACTTCGTCGAAACGTCGCCAAGACACTTCCAATTTTACGCGGGAGAAAACCCGAACAACCAAAGACCTACATACAAACACCCGCGAAAACCTCAGAAAACATATATATATATGTAGGTCTTTGGTTGTTCGGGTTTTCTCCCACGTAAAAATTGGAAGTGTCTTGGCGACGTTTTGACGAAGTCCCATTGCTGCTCGAAGCACGAAGCTGAAAACACCAGCCTGAAGATGACGAATGGGACTTCGTCGAAACGTCGCCAAAACACTTCCAATTTTACGTGGGAGAAAACCCGAACAACCAAAGACCTACATACAAACACCCACGAAAACCTCAGAAAACAAATATATATATATATAGGAAGTTTTTCAGACAGATGTCTAATTGATTACACCTTGACATTTTTTAACTGCTATACTGCAGTTTTACTTTTTACAATCTCTTAGATTGTAAATCTGTCTGAAAAACTTCCTGCATATACTCGCTTGACTCAGCTGGCAAAGAGGGAGGAGAGCCTGTGGCTTGGTGGTTAAATCACTGCCTAGTATGTAAACTGCCCAGGTTCGAATCCCATAAAGGGTGTGGCTAACTGGAGAGCAGAATGAGCTCAAAATGGCCCTCTTAGTCTCCCAATTTAATTCTTTAATTCTTTGTCAGAAAAAGAAATTTGGAGATATAGAGATATATATATTGTTTATGTGCAAGCAGCTTTGTAGATGCTTTAGATTGGGAAATTAGTTATATAGAAGCAAATGTTTTATGCTTTAGGTATAGGTGATTGCTTATATGAAAAGAGCAAGGTAAGGGGAGGGGGGGAAAAGGAGTTACGGATCATCATCTAGGAATTATTTTTTTGTGCCATCTTATGCCTAGTACCAAGACCTGATCTTTTTGTTCTGGAAAGATATAAAAGGTGGAAGACATCTTTTCTGGTTGTTGCCTTCATCTCTCTACCAGCCACGAAGAGAGATGGGGTCACCCAACTCTATTTTGATCAAAATAAAAGTTGTTTGCTTGCTGAAACCTCGATGCAGGAGTTTCTTTGGCTCTTTTAAATTCCTGAGTAAGGCTGGGGCAATTGTGTGGAAAACCTTACAACTGCATTTTTCTTTCTTAGCCATTTTACTTGGGGAGAAGTCAGCATAAGTAAGAGCAAGTCACTGATAAGCCAACATTTGTCTCAATGGGCGTTTAGCCTCATCAAAGGGGAAATAAATTATGAGGGGTCCTGGATACTCTCTGAACTTGGTTGTTTTCTTGCAGATATTTCATTATCCAAACTACATTATTATTTAAATCAATTATTTTTGCTTCTTTGATATACCAAACAACATATTTCACATTTAATGTACCTGTTATAAATGAATCATATATTTCACAGTTCAGGTAATTGAAGTGAGTGCGTGCGTGAGTGATTTAAAGCTCCCCACCCCCCCCCCAAAAAGCTGGGGGGGGGGGCAGAAAAATAATAGAAAAATGCATAAACTTGAGAGAAAACAAGAACTGAGGACAGGAATTTATTACAGTAATAGACTTGCAAGAGAGTTTTACACAGTATCTTATTAGAAATAAGGAAAGGTCCCTTCCAACTCTGTTATTGTGAAACCTTCAAAAACAAGGAAAAAAATAAATTTACAAAATAGCTTTTTTTTTCCCTATCCCGGCAACAGAGCTAAAAACTAGTGTGCCTATGCTGCCCTCTAGTGGATAGCTTTGCTAATAATTTATAATTTGCTGTATGGGTAGCTTATTTTATTTATTTGTCATATTTATTTGCCGTCTGTCTCTCCAGGCAGCTTGCAATAACAAAAAAGGAATAAAAATGAAAGGAGTGTGAACAGAACAGAAGTAACATAATAGAACAATAAAATAAACAATGACAACCACAGCTGGCACCAGAATTTATTTTGCTAAACAAGGTGGCGGTTAAGTTAGTCATGACAAATTTTATGACCTTTCGGCCAGGGTTGTTAAGCAAATCAGTGTGGTTGTTAAGTGAATCACCCAGCTGTCAAACGAATCTGGCTTGTCCCATTGACTTTGTTTGTTGAAAACCAACTGGGAAGGTTACAAACGGTAGTTATGTGACCTCAGCACATAATTTAATTCTGATGAAACTCCTGCAAGTTTAGACTCAGAGAAGAAAACCATACTTGAAGTTCAGTTGGGCTAGTCTCATGGGCCAGGTGTTCCTCATGCCTGCTGTACTTCTGTCCTATTTGCAGAATAGCAATAGCACTTAGAGCAGTGGTTTTCAACCTTTCTAATGCTGCAACCCCATAATTTAGTTCCCCATGTTGTGGTGACCCCCAACCACTTATACATCACTGGGTGCCAGGGGCGTGGCCAAAGAAAAGGGGGAAAAAAATGGCTGACAGCCTTGTTTGGTGACCCCCGTGAAATAGTCGTTCGACCCCAAATGGGGTCCGGACCCACAGGTTGAGAACCACTGACTTAGAGTTATATACCGCTTCACAGTGCTTTTACAGCCTTCTCTAAGCAGTTTACAGAGTCAGCCTGTTGCCTCCAACAATCCAGGTCCTCATTTTACCGACCTCAGAAGGATGGAAGGCTGAGTCAACCTTGAGCTGGTGAGACTCAAACTCCTGGCTGTGAGCAGAGTCAGCCTGCAATGCTGCATTCCAACTACTGTGCCATCACAACCAGTGGTGGGATTCAAATATGGAACAACTGCTTCTCTGTGTGGATGCTGCTTCCGGAAGTCCATGCTGGGCCTGGGCAACAAAAAAATTAGCTATCGGTTCTGCCGAAGTGGTGTGAACTGGCTGAATCCCATCACTGACCACGACGCAGTAAATAATTAATAAAATCAATCCATCAGCTTACATCCTGCTGTGCCTTTTCTTCTCCTACATTATACCTAGAAGGAAACAATTCTGTGTACTTTGGGCAGCATCCAACTACTTTCCTGCTCATCCCCAAAGGCTGCAAAGTTTTAAAATCTGTTTCTGTTTCAGATTCTTGTTACTTAAGAAGATGAAATGTACACTAACTAAGTGTGGATATGGCATTTCCAAAATAAAGAAAAGACAAGCACCTAAAGCTAAGTAATATCGAGATGGGCAACATGCTTACTTATCATTATTTCCCCCCCAAAAAAACTGTAATTTTGGATGAGACAAAAGAACTAGCACATCCTGCTTTGAAAGTTTACAAGGATAGAGTCTTCTCAGTGGTGGCACCTCTGGCTGACTTCTTTTTCACTAAAGACCTTACATCTGGGGGAAAAAGCCTGTGGATAGCATTGACTAATACTTCCCCCTTCACATTTGCATCTTTCTCTCTCTCTCCTTTCTATCTTTCAAAAGTCATATCCATAATTTCTGATTAAAAAGTCATATTCATAATTTCTGATTAAAAAGAAAACTTGCTCATTACTTATTGAAGGTGTCCCCCCCCCAAATGGAGACAAAATGTTTGCAGCCAAATCGCCAAGCTCGGAGATCAAACTAACAGCCCAGCTACCACCCAAACTACTAATATTCAGACACATCTCAAAAACCTCCCTGGTTGGTTTATTTCCTGCTTGAAATTTTTATCTTGATTGGAATCTTTTATCTAGCTCTGATTTAGTATTCTGTTTTTATTATTCTCTTGTATTCTGTTGAAACACATGTTTAATCTACAATATATATGTATTTGCAAACCGGCGTTGGCATCTCTCTATGTCAAAATACAGAGGAAAATATTTTAATAGAGATTTATCTCCAAATAAATTTTGAAGATTTTTCAAGTGACATTAGAAATCAAACTGGAATTAATATATAGATGGAATTTAAACTGTCTTTAACTCTTTAGCTGGATCCACATACACTTAATTGGTTTAAATATACTGGCTGTATTCACACCATATACTATTTGATTAATTTTAATCTTGGTTATTTTTAGTGATTAGCATGTTTTGCAATCTACCCTGTTCAGTTTGTTCATAATTCAGTATATATATATTATAAACCCAGAAAATTAGTTGAGATAATAATCAGGTTAAGCATGTTGTATATATTATTTAAATCATTCCCATATTTTTTGATAGTTGGAGAAGTAAAGAATATCTTTGTCCATTGCATGACATTTCCTTAGCATATAACGATAATCATAATGTAGCACAGTTGAAACTGGGCTTGTACAGGACATCTGCAAGCCACATAAGTCAAACTAATGCACTGTGTGTATGGAGTAATAACAACCACATTTCCAGACATCTGTGCTGTGTTTCACTGATACAGCAGTGAGAATTGCAGGGTCTTACCTGCAGCAAAACAGACAGAATCTTCTATCTGTTAAGACAAAAAGACATTAAATGAAAAATAAAGATATCCGAGTACTGGCACATTTACATTCTTGTCTATTTAAAAATGGAATCATTTATTTATTAAACTTATATGCCACTCTTCTCACAATATAGAGTGACTGATATCCAGAAATTAAGCATCCTATTGCTTATTTTAATTTCTACATGACTTTGTGTTGTTCAGGTTGTAGTGTTCGGTCACAAAGCTCAAAAGAAACGCATCTATTACAGAATTAGCTTACGATGGTACACCCAGAAAAACATTGTAACCTGAGCATTAAATATGCAGGGAATCAATATTGTATTCTTACGCAGACCTAATCCTTTGCAATCCCAGATTTATGAGCTTGTGGAGAATTCTGAGTTTTGAAATCGAGGTATCTAAAGTGTGCAAAGGTTTGAAAAATCCAATCTGGGTTGCATTTCCTTCTTCATCTGAAAATCCACATGGATATAAATGTAGTCCTCAGCTTACAACTGAGCCCAAAATTTCTTTTGCTAAGCAGGACTCTTGTTAAGTGAGTTTGTGCCCTATTTTACGTCCTTCCTCACCACAGTTCTTAAGTGAATCGCTGCAGTTATTAAGTTAGTAACACAGTTGTTAAGTGAATCTGGCTTCCCCACTGACTTTGCTTGTCAGAAGTTTACAAAAGGTGATCACATGACCCCGGGACACTGCAGCCGTCATAAATATGAGTCAGTTTCCAAGCATCTGAATTTCGATCATGTGATGCTACAATGGTAGCAAGTGAGAAAAACGGTCATAACTCCCTTTTTTTCAGTGCCATTATAACTTTGAATGGTCACTAAATGAACTGTTGTAAGTCGAGGACTACCTGTATATATATATATACATACACACACATATTCCAGAACCATTTGATGCCCATGATGGTTACCGGACATGGCAGAATCCATCCTGGAAGGGGCCTGATTTGCACCAGCTTCATCCAAGTATTGGGAAAGTTTTTCAAGAACCGATTAACTTCCTCCAGCAAGATAAGGAGCCATTCCCACATCACAACTGGACCTGCATCTACTGGCTGGAGGATGGGAAACACAATGGATTCCAGGAAGGACCCATAGAAGGTTCTGAGACAGCTCCAAACCATGTTTCGAATAGCCTGCTGGGAAAGCAACATACATAGGACGATTGGAAAAATTAGGCCAAGGATTCTGCCACAGTTGCTAAGTGAATCAATGCAGTCATTAAGCAAATCCAGCATCACTCCTCGACTTTGCTTATTAGAAGCCAACTCGGAAGGCCACAAATGACAATCACATGACCCCAGGATGCTGCAACCATTGTAAATATATGCCGGTTGGCAAGCGCCTAAATTTTGATCAAATGGTCGTGGGGATGCTTTGAGGACCAGTTGTAAATCACTTTTTTCAATACTGTTATAACTTTGGTCACTAAACAAATGTCTGTAAGTCAAGGACTCTCTGTATTTGTATTGGTTTGAAATGATATTAACCATGCAAAAAAAAAAAAAAAGAGCTTGTGTTTTTCTAACCCATGGCAAAGAACAACACCCAGAAATTTTGTTGATTCATCTGTAGATAGTTAATGGCATCCACATGGCTTAATGAGTCAAAAAAGTGTTAGTTTAATCTAGCAAAACACGAACATCAAAGTCTGACTCATCCAAGTACAAAATGTACACATCTGCATACAGTTAGTGTCCCAGACAGAAATTAGGATGATCAAAGGATGGTTTCAACTGGATTACTGAAGTCCAGTACACTGGACTGTACACAATGCACATAGAACAGTACACAATGCACACATCTGCATACGGTTAGTCCCAGACAGAAATTATGATGTTCAAAGAATGATTTTGACTGGATTAATTCCAGTACAGTACACTGGACTGTACATAACACACACGGTACAGTACACAGTGTCAAGAGCCGAGGTGGCGTAGTAGTTAGAGTGCAGTACTGCAGGCCACTTTAGCTGACTGTGTTCAACAGGTCAGCGGTTCAAATCTCACCAGCTCAAGGTTGACTCAGCCTTCCATCCTTTTGGGGTAGGTAAAATGAGGACCCAGATTGTTGGGGGCAATGTAAATATAGATATACATTGCTTACTGGTGTACACTGCTTAGAGAGTGCTTGCACTTAAAGGGTATATAAGTCTCATAAATAAATAAATAAATAAATAAATAAACATCTGCATATAGTTAGTCCCAGACAGAAATTAGAATGCATAAAGGGTGGTTTTGACTGGATTAATTTCAGTACAGTATACTGGGACTGTACACAATGCACACAGCACAGTATACAATGCACAATTTGCATACAGGTAGTCCCAGACAGAAATTAGAATGCTCAAAGGATGGTTTTGACTGGATTACATCCAGTACAGTACACTGGTTTGTACACAACACACACGGTACAAGTACACAGTGCCCGCATCTGCAGTTAATCCCAGACAGAAATTAGAATGCTCAAAGTATGGTTTTGACTGGATTACTTCCAGTACACAATGGACTGTACACAGTGCACACAGTACAGTACACAATGCATGCATCTGCGTATGGTTAGGCCCAGCCAAAAATTAGGATGCTCAAAAAATGGTTTTGACTGAATTAGTTCCGTCCTTTCAATCTAACTAGTAGTGTTATTATGAGGACAGTATAGGAAAATGGCTACACATGACAACACGGGAGGAAAATCTCTTGAAAGATTTAATAAAGGATGAAAAATGAGGTTCTTGGTGCTCTCTGAGCTTGGTGGTTTTCTTGCAGACATTTCTTTACCCAACTAGGTAACATCATCAGTACTAGTACCGAACATCATCAGACCTAGCTGGACAATGAAACGTCTGCAAGAAAACCACCAAGCTCAGAGAGCACCAAGACCCTATAGTTCAAACCCTGAGTTATAAATATTCTATCAGTAGAATGAAAAGTAGAGGACAAGTATATAAAACCTCCCCAGATCTGGAAAGCTTGAATAGAATATCAGAAGAAAAATGAAAAGTAGAAAGCTCACTATCAAAGATTGGTAAAAAAAATCTGAGGAAGGAAGGAAGGAAGGAAGGAAGGAAGGAAGGAAGGAAGGAAGGAAGGAAGGAAGGAAGGAAGGAAGGAAGGAAGGAAGGAAGGAAAACACACAGAGAAGACAGATATTGGGCGTCAACATGATAGCTTCTGTCCTGTTTACCTTATGAGCTTCTTTAGATGTCCGCTGCAAATCATCAAACCTTACTAGGTATATCATTCTGCAGCCAAGCTCTGGAAAGGCTGAACCTGCCACCGAAAGAATATCTCCTGGACACAGGTCACTGCATTGGGGGACAATCTCCAGAGCCTTCTGGATGATGGCATGGACTCCTGATCCCCAGTCCAGCCCATCAGGATCCAGAACCAGGGGCAGAACCACCACGTCTGCCTGTCCACAAAGAAAAAATGCTTTAACTCAATTAGATATTCATAGTAAAAGATGCAGGTGCTCGGGAGCCCAATTTCTGACTTATCATGGATGTTTTACGCTTTTCGCTTGTGGTAAGTCCCCAGAATCGTGAGGTGACATATAAATTTAATAAAAAAAACATCTGCTCCTCAGTTCAGGGCTCCAACACAAAGGAAGGTTGGGGTCTTCTCTTGCCAGTTGCAATTCCTCCAAAGTATGTCCTCCTCCATCGTGTTAATATAAGAGGGTGTACAAAATTATGAAAATGGAAGCTTGGTATGTTTTAAAAGTAGCTGTTTTTTTCCCAATTCAAAAAAAAATAAAAGCTTGGGAGCCTAACTTGGAACAGCATCTGGGAAGAAGTTCCTTAATCTTGACCAACCTAACGCTCCCATTTATGAGGCAGTTAGTAACTACCCCCTAATTACTAACTCCTTCATAAATGGGAGCTTTAGGTTGGTCAAGATTAAGGAACTTCTTCCCAGATGCTGTTCCAAGTTGGGCCCCCAAGCTTTTTTTTTTTTTTTTTTTTTGAATCAGGGGGAAAAAAGGTCATTCAGTAACTAATTCAACTATTAATGCATATCATAACACTTTTTGGTTGTGGTTTGAGTAACTGTTGTTGCACAACATATGAAAATCATAAGCTCTTTTTTTTTCTTTGAGTGGTTTCTACCATTACTCAGTCATCACCATGACAACCGAAAAGCTATTTACCTCACTTTTATCCTGCCACAATGATTGTGGGATGACTATTCAGAAGCTGTAAATCTCTAATGAGGAAACGTCTGTAGACCATTATTCATCTACTTCAAATCATCTGACGAAAATCCTGGTCTCCCACTTGTCTAATCCTGTCTTTATCTACTTGTTTATTTATTACGCATGTTTCTGTGCTGTCACAATCAAAACTAGCATCAGGAGCTCCCAGAGAACCTGTCAAAAACAATGCAAGTTTGTTCAAGTAAAACCTAGTGAAACTTTTTTTTTTTTACAATTACAGCAAACACACACTCATTTTACCTGTCCATGTTATTTTTCCATTTCTCTTCCTGTTCCTGCCCAATAAGTACAGGCAGTCCTCAATTTATGACCACAACTGAGTCCAAAATTTCCATTGCTATGCAAGACCCTTGTTAAGTGAGTTTTGCCCTATTTTACGACCTTTCTTGACACAATTGTTAAGTGAATTACTACTGTTCTTGAGTTAGTAACACAGTTATTTTTTTAAGTTTTTTTATTTATAATGCAGTTTAAAAAAAAGTGGACATAACGTAACATTCCAGTGTGAGTATGTCTAACAATTTGTTCCTCTTCTTACATATGATTCTTTATCTTTCTATATACATACATATTTTTCTATACAATATCTAATTTATTTCTCTATTTACTAACCTAAAATTATATATATTTCTATCTTGACACTAAACTATAACCCAGACAGTCCTCCTTCATTCACACCAATAGTAGAATTTGTCCCATATTTCAAAATAATCTGACTCAGTCTTGTCCTTCATTTCCATTGTGAGCCTGTCCATATTGGCACACGATGGTATTTTGTATAGTATCTCTTCTTCTGTTGAGGTTTCTTTATTCCTGCAACTTTGTGCATACGCCAATCTAGCAGCAGTGAGGATGTGTAACATCAGGTAAAATATCCCTTTATATTTCTGTGTAGTTATGCCTAACAGGAAAAGTTCTGGTTTTAGCTCTATCTCTATCATTAATATTTCTTCCAGCCATTTTTTTTATCTTATTCCAAAAATCACAAGCTTTTGAGCACTCCCACCACATATGGTAGTAGGTCCCTGTTGCCAATTTGCATTTCCAGCATGTAGATGAAAAATTTGGACCCATTTTGGCTAACCTTATGGGTGGGAGATGCCATCTATAGAACATTTTGTAGAGATTCTCTTTGTAGGAGGTGGCCAGAGCGAGCTTCCTGTTTCTTACCCATAATTCTTGCCAGATGGAGTTAGTAACACAGTTACTGGCTCCCCAGAGGTGGTTCTGAGAGCCAGTAAGTGAATCTGGCTTCCCTATTGATTTTGTTTGTCAGAAGGTCACAAAAGGAGATCACATGACCCAGGGATACTACAACCGTCATAAATACAAGCCAGTTGCCAAGCCTCTAAATCAGTGTTTGTCAACCTTGACCATTTTAAGGCATGTGGACTTCAACTCCCAGAATTCCACAGCCAGCATTGCTGGCTGTGGAATTCTGGGAATTGAAGTCCACATGCCTTAAAATAGTCAAGGTTGGGAAACACTGCTCTAAATTTTGGCCACGTGATGCTGCAATAGTCATAAGTGTGAAAAGGGATCATGAATCACTTTCTTCAGTGTCGTAACTTCAAAAGGACATTAAACAAATGGCAGTAAGTCAACTGATTTTTTTGGAAAAAAAACCCCAACAGATACTTACTTTTTTCTTTTCATCAGGACTGGTCGCTACCTCAATCTTGGTGGACTCTAAAGACAATAGCATGTTTCTTAACTTCTCTGAGTCATCTTTTCCAGAAGACCAGTGCTTCTGACATTCCTTGTACAACAGCATAGTGGCATGTCTGTCTTCAGAGACCACATGAAGGCTTTTCAAGGGACCGACAGGATGTTTTTTCCTAAAGGCCTCCGTTCCTAGAACTATTACCTCAGCTTCAGTTGTAGAGATTGTACTGCCTGAGTAGGTTACAACTACAGACTGGAATCCTTTCCGCGAGGCGGCGTCCAAGGCCAGTTTCACCATCCCAGCTGCTAGTCCAGCTGTTGGTGGACATGAAAAGTGAATGTCCAAATTCGTATAAAGAGACCTTTCTGGGCTCCACACCCTCTGAGCAAACACGGCATTTCCACTGTCCAGACCACCGTTGGTGCCGATCCTCACCACAGCATCTGCCCTGATGTGAGAAGCTTCTCCTTCCCAAAGGAAAAGATGGGATCCCTTCTGGAGTTGGAAGAAGCCAGCAGCTTTGAGGTGTGGAACATCTATCCGATTGACTTGAACCTGGGAGCCTACTAAAATGAGCAATTTGCTGATGGTTTCTTTGGCTCTCGGAACCACCTCTGGAGAGCCAGTGAAAGAGATGACTGGTGAATCGCTTTGGAGGGCTGCTGAAACCTTAACTTCCCAAAGGGATGGAGAGAGGATTTCCAGAAGCTGTTTCCACAACCTTTGCTCTGCAAGAGTAATGAACAGAAGCTCTGTTGTTTCAGATGTTTTCCTGATTGGATTTTCATGTCTAAGCCTGCTTGGCACTTTTTCATCAGAGACCACCTGAAGTTCACCTCTTCGAACTAGACTTGATGGCCCCATCTTGAATTCTTCATTCATTCTGGCCTTCCACAGTACCTTAGCAGCTGCTACAACCTTTTTTTCTTAGATAATCCTCTTGCTAAAATTATTCAAATAACAATTCACAGCTTGCTTGGCCTGAGAAAGCAGCGCTCAACTCCTTTCACATCTGCCCAGTTGATTTCCTGAAAGAGAATAACAGTCTAGGAATAGTCTTCAAGGGAAAGACACAAAGATTTAGCAAAACCCACATCAAAACATTTACTTGGCCCGTGACATACAGGTAGTCCTCGACTTATGACCACAATTGAGCCCAAATTTTCTGTTGCTAAGCAAGACAGTTGTTAAGCGAGTTTTGCCCCATTTTACAATCTTTCTTGCCCCAGTTGTTAAGTGAATCACTGCAGTTGTTAAGTTAGTAATACAGTTAAGTGAATTTGGCTTCCCCCTCGACTTTGCGTGTCAGAGGTTTGAAAAAGTGATCACATGACCCCTGGCATTGCAACTGTCATAAACACGAGTCAATTGTTAAGTGTCTGAATTTTGATCGTGTGACTATGGGAATGCTAGAAAGGTCATAAGTGTGAAAAATGGTCACTTTTTTCCAATGCTATTATCTGTTCAAGCAAATTGTTGTAAACTGAGGACTATCTGATAGCAGATAGTTTGCTAGTGGATAGTCCTATCTATTTCCCAGTCACAGAAAGCCAGATGTTGCCAGTCTTTGATCTATTAGGATAAAGAAGTTAGACCAGTGGTTCTCAACCTGTGGGTCGGGACCCCATTTGGGGTCGAACGACCATTTCACAGGGTTCGCCAAACAAGGCTGTCTGCCATTTTTTCCCCTATTCTTTGGCCATGCCCCTGGCACCCAATGATGTATAAGTGGTTGGGGGTCACCACAACATGGGGAACTGTATTATGGGGTCGCGGCATTAGAAAGGTTGAGAACCACTGAGTTAGAGGAAAAATAAAATAGATGATAATTGCAAGGCCAGGTCAGACAGATTTTTCCTTGGGTGGCGGAATGGAGTGTGCTGATTTTGGTCTTATGGTAGGAAGAAGAAAGAGTCTGCTGCTTAAAGCAAGGATGCACAACTTCTATCACCTCAAAGATAGCCCAGATCTTGTGAGGAACTTCAATGGCCGCCCTTTAAACAAGGTTGGGGGCCAAAGAAAAATCTTTTTGGGGTGTAAAGCATTTGAAGGGTGCAAAACCTCTATCAGCTCAAGGACAGCCCCAGGTTTTGTGAGGAACATCAATGTCAACCCTTTAAACAAGAGTGGGGGGGGGGCAAAGAACCATTTTTGGGGGGTGTGAAGCAGTTGAAAGACAAAATGGATTCTTTAAGCATCAGCAAAGTATAAAGATCCATTTTGTCCCTTAAAATCCCCCAGTGCACTAAAAGAACTGAAAACGTTGGCTGCTCTGGAAAGATCTGGGAACCACTAAAAGGATGGTTATGCTTTTAAATCCCTCCCCCTCCAATATTACAGGAAGGCCATGCTTAAATAAAGTCAGTGACGGCATCTATTTCTGGAAAATGTGTGCATCAGAGCGGCGCATTTACTGTTTTCTAATAGCCTCTTCCTCCATTTCAATTTTAGGAGCTACAAGAAAGCTGGATCAAACTGGATTTGTAAATTTCATCCAACAGCCTGCTATCACCTTCTTGATTCAAACAACTCTGATCCATTCGTCAGGTTTTCCCAACTGGATATCTAGCAAATATATCTGACTACAGTTGCCGTGGTTCCTAAGTGACAGCCTGACGTATAATTTGGCTTTAAAGAATTGGATTAACATCTGATGGAAAGTTTTCCTAGATGAATTCCAATTTGTCATCTTTCCCTATCTCTTTTCAGATTGCATAGATCTGTTTTATTGTTCACATGCCTGGTCCTATCGCGACTGTTTGATTTTATTATCTTGTCCAATTTTATCTTCAAAATAACCCTGTGAAATATGCTAGGGGGGAAAAAAGCAGCAGAGCAACCAAGATTATCTTATTGTTGCATTGAAATTCACACATCAGAAATCTCTTGACTCCAGACTCACACTTTACCCACTGCATCCTATGAATTCAGTTCATCTATCGTCCCAAGGCAGGTCTTGTGAAAATGTCGTATAATCAATCCTTGACTTATAACCAAAAGCTCTAAGTGAGCCATGCCCGATTTTATGATTTATTGTTAAGTAAATCTCTGCAGTTAAGTGAATCATGTGGTTGTTAAGTCAATTAAGCTTCCCCCATTTGACTTTGCTTGTTGGAAGGTTGCAAATGGCAGTCACATGACCCTGGGATGCTTCAACCATTATAAATACACATCAGTTGCCAAAGGCCTAAATTTTGATCCTGAGATCCTGAGGGTGCTGTGACACTCATAAGGGCGAAGATCAGTTGTAATTCACTTGTTTCAGTGCTGTAGTAACTTCAAACCTACAACTAAATGAATGGTTGTTGCAGACTATGCATAGAGTGAATAATCCACAACTGGGCTGACAAGAACTAGCTAACTAACCCATAAACTAGGACCAGTTTGAGCCACTCCCTCTCTTTCAGCCTAATCTTTACAGTTATTAGTACCTTACAGAGAAAAATCACAGGAGCAAATACCATACACACCATTCTTGAACTCCGGAAGGAAGGAAGGAAGGAAGGAAGGAAGGAAGGAAGGAAGGAAGGAAGGAAGGAAGGAAGGAAGGAAGGAAGGTAGGTCTATTCAGGGGTAGGCAACCTTGGCTCTTTTATGACTTGTGGACTTCAACTCCCAGAATTCTGGGAGTTGAAGTCCACGAGTCATAAAAGAGCCAAGGTTGCCTACCTCTGGTCTATATATATTCCTCCAAAATCAAATTATATTATGCCCAACTTCATGTAGAAAAATACAACAGTCACTTTAAATGTACACTAAACAGCATACATTAAAATGAGATTTTGTTGTGTATAGCTCTCAAAGGGTAACCACCTCCAATAGACACTGCATAAACATGAGGAAAAATAAATAAAATAAATTATGCATATACCCCAAAACACATACATATGTGGTCTAGAGAAACAACACACTGTAGTTCAGATGTATACAGACTGTGTTGTTTCTCTGGGCCACATATGTGTGTATGTATGTGGGTATATGCATAACTTATTTTATTTATTTTTTGTCATATTTATGCAGTGTATATTGGAGATAGTTACTAGTAACTAGAGTACCTCAGGTTTGCCTTTTTTGGCATTAATTACTCTAATTAATCACTCTTTCCAAGAATAGAAAGTTAATGATCATAGATTATAACTTCCCTTTGCTTCCACTTACCTTCAGATCTAAGCTTCCCAACCCCTTTCCAACAAATTCAACTCTCTTAGCACGTCAGGAAGTTACCCACAGCTGGATAAAACTTGGTCTCTGCAGTTACATTTCCAAAAACATCAGATAACAATAGAGGTTTACCTCAAATCTTAACCTGATCCACAAATCAGCTTGCTGCATTTTTACTGAATGTGTCGTACAAACTTAGTCTAGTTAGTTTATGGTTAAGCATGTCACACAAATGTAGAAGATTTAATCTGAGTGGTTACTATCTCTGTTGAAACTTGGTCTTCTCTTTGAATTCTCAGTAGGGGTGTCAGTAGCCCGATGTGGCAATGACCATGCTTTAATACAGGGGTCTTCAAACTTGGCCCTTTTAAGACTTGTGGACTTCAACTCCCAGAATTCCTCAGCCAGTGTGCCTGGCTGAGGAATTCTGGGAGTTGGAGTCCACAAATCATAAAAGGGCCAAGTTTTAAGACCCCTGCTTTAATACTATAAAATCTTGTCCCCTCTGGCTCTCCCATTCAAACTATCTTCACCTGATAGACTTATCCCATGGTTGACTGAACCACAATTTCCCTCAACCTGATCTTTTGAATTTGCATAACATCTTTTGTTAAAATAGGTTTGCCTAATTTATGTTTAGGGGTGCTGTGCAAATCCAGCCTATTTTTTATTATTTGGGGGGGAGGGGAGCACAGATGTATCATTTTTACTAGCCCAGCCACAACATCCTTTCATTTTCATTCAGTCAACAAATTAAACTTTTCCTAGGGTGAAGAGGATATATGGTGGGATGTTTTCCCAAATAAGTTCTCAAGTCTGACTTTCAAATATTCAAAGCAGAAAAATCTGGCATTAGGAATAAACAGAACTACTTTTGCTAAGGATAGTTTCTTTATATATATATATATATATATTAAAGAATTCAACTCACCTTTTCATCCAGATTCTGCATCTGCCCAGAGCATTTAATCTAAGACACGCTCCCTTGCTACTGAGCCTTGATTGAAAGAATCAAGCAACTGAGTTTCTCAAAGTCTGTTTCTGCTGTGAAGCTCTTTCACTTTCTATTCTTTCTGCAAGAGCTTGTTTCATGTTGGGTGTGAGATTTTTCTTTCTTTTTCTTTTTCCTTTTTCTGTTTTTTTTTTTTTAAAGTGCCCTCTATTGATTTGGATGGGCCTGAGGAAAGTAGAAGATCCCAAAACAAATAAATAAAGGGGAAATCTCTCTTTTGCATGCCCGGACTTCCTCAAACTCCTTAAACTGGCACCCTTTCAAAAATCTGAAGCTGAAATGTATTTGCACAGTGATAAGCAAATGGGATAAGTACAAACTCCACAAAATAAGTGGTCAGGTTTAAACTTTTGGGGTTTTTTAGTATTTCCTGGTGAAGGGAAATATGTCTGTGTGACAGGATTTTGTGGCTGGGCCCGTAAAAATGATACCCTCCCCCCAAATAAATATCAAGAAAATGAGGCTATGAGCAGATTTATTATCATTATAGATAGTCCTCGACTTATGACCATTGGGATCAGAATTTTGGTCCAAGCAAGGGAGTCACTATTGTGAGAAGTCAGCCCCCCCCCAGAGAAGGAAATATTAAAAAGGGCAGAATATTATATTTCCTCAAAGGATCTTAAAGAGGCAGAAAAGCATGCCCAGTTTTTCTTAATAGCCCCAAGTTTCCCTCTCCCAAGCAGAAATCAGCTTTGTAGAAATGCAGATGTGATAATCCATTCAGGAAGGTTGGAGGCCCCCAGAGAGAAGCTTAGGAAGACAAAGACCCCTAAAATCTACATTGTTGTTGTTAATTGCGAAGTCGTGTCCGACCCCTCGCGACCCCATGGACAACGTTCCTCCAGGTCTTCCTGTCCTCTGCCATCTTCTGGAGTCCATTTAAATTCACGCCTACTGCTTCAGTGACTCCATCCAGCCATCTCATTCTCTGTCGTCCCCTTCTTCTATTGCCCTCAATCTTTCCCAGCATTAGGCTCTTCTCCAGTGAATCCTTCCTTCTCATTAGGTGGCCAAAGTACTTGAGTTTCCACTTCAGGATCTGGCCTTCTAAAGAGCAGTCATGGTTGATCTCCTCTAGGACTGACCGGTTTGATCGCCTTGCAGTCCAGGGGACTCGCAGGAGTCTTCTCCAGCACCATAGTTCAAAGGCCTCCATTCTTTGGCGCTCAGCCTTTCTTGTGGTCCAACTTTCACAGCCCTACATTGCAACTGGGAAAACCATGGCCTGGACTATACGCACTTTTGTTGGCAGGGTGATGTCTCTGCTTTTTAGAATGCTGTCTAGATTTGCCATAGCTTTCCTCCCCAGGACATACCCCACCCAAACTCTAAAACAGGACATAATAGGATTAACCCACAGATGCCAAAGGGCACACTTAGACTCAGGCTAAAGTTCATGCCACAGGAACAACTCCAAACAAAGGGCTCCAGAGGATATAAAAACTCACTCCCTGCATATGCTCTTTTTTCTTCCAGAGCCATCTTTCTGTCTGGCTCTCCTCTTCAATAAACCGCAACCTTCTTTCTAAAGCAGTCACCATGTTGTTTATTCCCGGCTTGGACTGAACCATGATGAAGGCTTTTCCTTCAGCACTATCAAGACTGTTAGAAGTTACTAGGGCACTGAAAAAAGTGACCTGTGACAGTTTTCCACATTAATGATCATTGCTACATCCCCATGGTCACTTGATCAAAATTTATATTTATGACAGATCCAGTATCCCCGGGTCATATGATCATCTTTTCCAATCTTCTATCAAACAAAGCCAATGGGGAAACCAGCTTTACTTAACAAACATGCTACTAATTTAACAACGGCAGTGATTCACTTAACAACTATGGCACGCACTCTCACACCACCACCCAGCACAGATCAACTCCGTAGCCAAGACACTCATCTCCAGAACAAAACGTTTAGCTGATGAACAACACCTAAAAACCGAACTACACACTCTCACTAATGTACTAACATCCAACGATTCCAAAGAAATAAGATTACCAACCTAATCCAAAAAGAAACCCCCACAAAAATCCAAGACAGAGAACAAGAAAACAGCAAAGCCCTCCTCCCATACATAAAAGGCACCACAGACAGAATCAGCAAGATCCTCCACAAACACAACATCAAGAAGCATTCTGCAAGAACAGAAAAATATCCACCATCCTAAGAAACCCCAAAGACAAAATTGAGTTAGAAAATCAAGGAGTATATGAAATCCCATGCACCGCTTGCCCCACCACATGCATCAGACAAACCAACAGAAGAATAAGTGCACGCATTGAAGAACACAAGAACTCAGTCAAAAAGAGGAACCAACTTCTTCCCTGGTCCAACACCTTAAAACCACAGGACATGAAATTGACTGGGTTTCAGAAATACATACAAGTTCATCTAGCATTAAGTACTCAGTCAAAGTGAAAGGATGCTTCATCATCTCCAGAGACAATGCCAAAAGCCAGCTGTATCTTCAAATGAACAGCCTCAAACCAGAGGACTTGGCTGTCTATTACTGTACGAGAGACACAATAAGAGGAAGTAAATCTGTAGCAAAGCAAAAACTGCCCATTTCACCCAGCAGCTCTGCAAATTTCTTTTGCAATAAAAATGAAGATTTTTTTTCATTAGGATTCTTCCTTCACATCTTCATCTTGCAGTCCAAACTTCTTCTTTTTATACCCATCTAATGAGTCCCTCAATTTCACTTTCAGTAGAGGTTGATATTTACTCAGTTCACTCATTCCTGAATCTTCCTCCCTCATGTCACTATGTACATTTTCTTTGGACTCAAACAATGTATTATTATTATTTTTTTAATCTTAGGATTCTACTTCCTCCTGTCACTTGAGGAACTTTTTTTTTAACTTTTCCATCAAATTCTACTGAGGTACTTACTCAGTTTTTCCATTTACTCTTCTTACCTCTTATAGTGCAGAGGTCCTCAACCCCAGTTCCTGGACCAGCACCGGGCTGCGGCATGCCAGCAACCGGTCCGCAAATATATATATATATATATATATATATATATATATATATATATATATATATATATATATATATTCGCGTTTAAGAAAATTAAAAACGTGAACCCTGGGAGTGTTCATGATAGGAAATAAAATGATCACCAGGGTAATAAAACTATAAAATTTATTAAAAAGCGCCTAGCTTTCGCCGTCACCTGCCGGCATCCTCAGGGCTAGTGCGCCAGGGAGTGGGAGGGTCATTCTTATAGGTGTGGTGAGGTCTGCGCACGACTCCTCGACCTCGTCATTGGGCCTAAATAGGATAACTGCGTGCGGCTGGTCTGTTCCTTTCTATTCATCTCAACCGCCCGTTCATCCTCCTCCATCCTTCTCTCCCTCAATCTTGAGGTGGGCGGGCAAATGTCTCTATGGTTGCAACAGTCTCTATATTTGAGCTCTTTTCCCTCGGGGGTAGGTGGCAGTGTGCATTTCGTGTTTCTTTTACAGTCCTCCTTCGTTCCATCGTTCTTCCTATGGCAAGTTTTTTGTTGTTGAATTTTGGTATCTTTGTTTCTTATACAGGTATCATTTAAGTGATCACATGGGTCCTTTCGAGGTAGTTGTAATTCATTAACGGTCTGGGGCTGGAGGGGGGGACCTTTCAAATGTGGAGGGGGTAGTGATTCTTCAATTGTCCCTGTGTGTAGTCGCTTTGTGCGCGCTACGCCCTGTTCGGGCGATCCGGAAAGGGTAGCGGTGGGGCCATGCCTTCGCTCTTCCTCTTGGGGTAGGTATCGTCCAGGTGATCTCACACGCCCCTCCCGAATAGATATAGTTCGTCGGCAGTCCAAAGCCGAAGGGCAAGCCACTCGGTCGTGGGTGGAGGGGGGCGGAGGCTCCCCGCCCGTCGCCACCCCCAGCTGTCCGGCGCGTCTCCTGCTATGAGTGATCGATCCGGGGGGAAGGTTAGCAATAGAGTCGTGATCTGTTTGGTCTTTGCAGCGTCCTTCCTCGCTACAAGTAGATATAGATCGTCGGCAGTCCGGAAGCCGAAGGGCAGGCCATTCGGCCATGGGTGGAGAGGGGCGGAGGCTCCCCGCTCGTCGCTACCCCCAGCTGTCCGGCGCGTCTCCTGCTGCGGGTGATCGGTCCGGAGGGGAGGGTAGCGATAGAGTCGCAATCTGTTTGATCTTTGTAGCATCTTTCCTCGGCTTGTCTCCTCCTCCCTGCGTCGTCGGTGGTCATACGGATCCTCCGAAGCTCTCCGGAATACGCAAGCGGGGGGAACGGTGGCTTGATCTCTTGAGTTCTTTCTCCTTCTTGCGGTTTCCTCTCTCCTAACTTGGTCCCCTTGATCCAGCGGGGGGCTCTCTCTTTTCTTTCTGAAATGACTGGCATATTTCCTCCCATATGCAGGTGGATTGCCATATCTAAGGGTCTCCCCCCTCCTCCAACCGCGATGTCTTCCTTAGTATTGGTCACCACATTTCGAGTATCTATATCTTCCTTAATGCCATTAGAGTTATTATTGGAACGTCGGGGGTGCTGTCCTTGATTACTAGTGCTCCACAGCCTTAAAGCCATATATGCCGGGCACAGGTCCACATGCCGGTTAATAGAATTGTCATCCGAGAGCCATGCCTCCTTAAGTAGGCGGCCCCCCTTGGTATTGTCGCTAGCCAATACGCTGACCTCACTGAAATTAAATTTGTGATCTAGTTCCGCCATGTGTGCCCATATTTGAGAATGTGGATCTCCCCTTCTTACTGCTAACTTATGCTCGTGGACCCTGGTTTTAATCCGTTTGGCTGTCTCCCCAACATAGTTGGATCGGCAGTCCATACAATTGATCTTATAAATGGCTGCCGACCTTTCAGTGTTGGGGAGCGGGTCCTTTGGGCGCATTACAGCTGCCCGCAGTGTTTGGTTGGGTCTATGGGCCACTTGTATCTTGTGCGGTGCTAAGATCCTTGCAGTGGCCTCTGAGACGTTGTGGATATAGGGGAGAGTAATACGTGTGGTTACTTGAGATGTAAGTCTTTGGGGTGTGGGGTCACTCCGGGGTCCAGATGGTTTGCTGAACCGATTAATAAATTTGGCCGGGTACCCATTGTGTTTACACACCCGGAAGAGATAATTTCTCTCCTCCCTCTTGGCTCTGGCAGTGCTGCAGTGCGACTCCACTCGCTTGAATAAGGTCCTGACACAGCTGGCTTTATGAGCCATGGGGTGATTGCTCTCAAAGTGTAACATCCTGTCTGTACATGTGGGTTTTCGGTATACCCTGGTAGTCAGACATCCGTCCACCTGGCGCTGTACTAACACATCTAAAAACGCTAAACTGCCCTGGTGTTCCTCTTCCATGGTGAACTGGATGTCTGGGTATACCGAATTCAGGATGTTCATAAAGCCAGTCTTGTGCCGCTCCTTGATGACCGCAAACGTATCGTCCACATAGCGGGCCCAAAATTTTGGTTGATATTGGGCCAACGCTATGTGTTCCAGTCGCTGGAGCACCACCTCTGCGATCACGCTGGAGATCGGCGACCCCATGGGAGTTCCCTT